TATAAAATAACCCCCAGAGCTTTCCGAAACATACAAATAAAATGCACAATAATTGAGGTTTCTCGATTCTTAGAAATCCGTAGGGACGTAGGGTTTTCCTAAAAGAACTACTAACGCTTTATGTGCGTTTGCAGAGAAATTCAAAAAAGCATAAGAAATATCCTCTTCTAATATACCGCAACTACGAAGATACAGCGGTTAATATTTGAATACAAATCATTAAGAAAAAAATGTATATACTCAAAACTCACAACTATAAATTATAAGTTATAAGTTCAATCTCTGAATATATTATTATGAAATGGTTAGTTTAAAAAAAAAATAGTAATGACAAAACAAAAAAGTAATGAATACGACAAATGCCAAAACATTACCTTTATTTTAGTCCAGTTTAGGTAAACCAACTTTTACCAAACCCTTAAGAATCTCAACTTAAACATAATGTTTGATTCTAATTAAGTTCAGAAATAAACGTTTTCACTATTGTATTAAATTAGAGCTTAAAAGAGTTCAGTTTTAGTTTTATGCTTCGAGGTCAATAAAACTTCCACATAAACTCGGTCGAACCTATAGCAATTCTTAGAAGATGCAGTGGATTATAAATTTAAAAAAAATAAATCCTACATATTTCCATAAGTTTTATTTATATTGTTAAAATGGTTATGCGTACCAAATAATTAATATCATTCTTATTGACAGTAACTGGCTTCGAAGATAAAGCTGATAAGTAGATAAAAATAGTTTTACAATAATAATAAGCCGCAACCGTTTCTGCGATTACTGATAAAATATCAATAATACAATTGACCAAAGGCTTTGAACACAAATTTTTATTTTACAAAAACCCAACACCTATTTATTTATATTCTCTGTATATTTTGTCACTCGAATAGTGATATAAACTAAGTATTCTCCAAAATGCTATTTTTGCTCTTTTATTTATTTGCAAACATGCAGTGTTCGAAAAGAATGTGTTCCTTGAATGACAGCCCTTTTGAATACAATATTAAACACATTCCTTTTATTTGTACTGAAATATGAATGCAAATGCAACAGAATTCCAAACATCACTTTTATAACTTGTTTAGCAAATTCCATTTTGGTTCTCTAAACTTAATGAAATTGTTATATAACGCAAGTTAGATGCATAATATTATAATTTATAATACCTACTGCCAAGTAATGACTCAATACTCTTATGAATTTTTTTAATTTTAAAACTAGAAAATGGCGAATGAAAATAAATATACTTGGTTTTGACTTGAAAATGAGAAGGGAATTCTTTAATGCGGTTTATTTCAATGTTTCAACGAAATGCATATTAGTTGTATCAAATGCAAATGCAAAATTGTGTGATTTTAACGGAAGTGCTTCGGAAACTTTAATCTAATATTAACTGATAAAAAATCGTTAATATAATTTACGAAATATTTGTTTACAATTAAAACGGTAAAATAAATAATAAAAAAATAATAGCAAACGTTTAACGAAATGCATAATCTTGTAAACATTTCGGTATTAATAGGTTTGAGAGATTAGACGGTGTAAACAAGCGTCTCATCTAAATAATATAATAGTATTATTAATTTATAAATATATTTACTTCACAGAGGAAGCCATATTATTATAATATTTATGGTCTGGATTGAAAGCTAACTGCGCGCTTAATCTGTTGACAAACGGCGTTGTTATGATTGTAACATCTCCCAAGGATCATTTTTATAAAACGACTAAGCAAATATTATTACATATTTTGGTACAACCTAATACCGTGTCTAAATAATAATAATTAGAAATATTAGAACGGCTTAAAAAACATTGGAAAAATAACTGAATAAACATATAAATCGTATCGTACAAAAAAGAGAAACCCTTGGAAAATCTAATCGTTTTCGAATAGTTTTTGGCGCGGAATTGGGCATTACTAAATACCAGGTTTAGCCTTTAGGTACATTGTATTTAACTTGCAATATGTTTAAAAATAATTATTGTGTAAGAAAATATATATTTTAATAATAATGGTTAAACAAAACATTTCAATGAACTATTAAATGTATCAAATTTTTGTTAAGTAGATAAAAACAGTTCATTTTTTTTTCTAATTAATTACATCACTATCGGCACGGAATCAATTAAATTCAATTTATTCTATACTAGTCATGTGCACTTTCGAATTTTGTAACCAGTAATCACTAACCGGTAAAGTACGTTTGTTTTTAACGTCAATGATTGAACTTTTTGTTAAAAATCATAACTCTTAAAGTAATATTTAAAAATGGGTAAATTTGTTTTTGTCCTCTTTAAGCTGCCCCATTATTAAAGCACGAACAAAAGTTTGAAATTATTAAAAATAATATAGGAAAATTAATTAAGCCGTTTTAAATATCAATGAAAGTTCATTCAAATGTGTTACCAAATTAATTATTCGACTGACAGTATTAAAACTGACTCTTCGATTTTTCCATTATTATGATTAACCATGTTCAAACTATCATTAAAAAAAGTAAATTCAATAGGAGGGGGGGGGAATAAGTTATCTATCATATAGTAAAGAATTATACATTATGCTTAGTCCTTAGACAACAGTATGAACTACCGTACTACTCAATCTGTAATAAAGCTTATACGAAAATTTAACACTAGTCTTTAATGAAAGAAAGTTAAATTGGTTGTAAATAATATACAACAAATACTTATTGTGTAGACATTTTAAGTTATTTAGAAAAATTGTATGTATACTTTAATACGCAGCTGACAAACTAAATCAGTGCCTCATCCTTTCTGTAAAAAAAAACCTTGTCTCATAAGTCATAACAATCGATCTTTAAAGAAAGCCATATATAGGTATTTACAAAAAAAACATTTTTTTTAAATCTTACTCAATTAAATTTTTTAATTTACAAAATACTTTAAAGAATCAATTAACAGAATTGCATGTTAATTATAACTAATTTAATTTTTTTTATTAATTGTACATTAGTATTGTCCTAGAGAAGTTGTTCGATGCGATTTGAGTAAAAGTATTTTTTATTATACATAATTAACTAATGTCAAAGTTTAATTTATTGTCAATTATTGCTAATAAAAAAAACCAAAATTGTATTTAGGTAACAAATAAGCAATAAGATTTTCACTTTATTAAATTACAAAATATAGTAGTGTTTATATAGTATAACATTGAGATATAATAGTATAAATGATCAGCAATGTCAATTAGCACTTTAAACTATAGTAATAAGCTAATAGTCACCTAAATGTTTTAAAAGTATTAATTTTTTATCATTTAATACGGTTTAACATAAAAAAGTTAAAAATTAAGCGTTTAAACAATAAAAACTAACTGCAGAAAGAACTTGAGTGTCTTATTATTAACTCCAAGGCTATTCAAAAATAAAAACTATTTAAAGTTAATATTAATTAATGAAAATGCTAAATGTCGTACCACTTATATTTAGGAATAAATTAAACTAATATTAACATATTAAATATCTTTATTAAATTATTAAGTGCAACACTCTAATCGCTATGCACTGCATTAATGTATTTAGTAACACCAATGGTAATTTGATCAGAAAAAATTATTTAGCAGTAAAAAACTTTACCAGTAAAATAATATGTTTTTTTCCTATTTTGATTACTACTAAGATATAAACTAGTATTAGTAAGATAATCCTATTATTATTTTTTTTTTTTTTTCACACATAAAATCTATAAAAATTAAGTGAAAACTGAAACTATAATACTTGAACAATGTAATAGTAAGGTTTTTTATTGTTGACTTGCCTTTGTAATTATTAATAAATGTAAGTGAAGCAAATAGCACTACTGCAAAATAGAAAGACACAACTCACAAAATTATTTTTAAAAATACTAGCAGTTAGTTTGATAAATAAAAGTTGCTATCAAATGCCAACAATATAGTATAAAAATAGTAAAAATAATCTAAAAATATGTTTATACAAAACAAAACAAAAATGGCATCCAACAGTTAACTGGAGGCGTATTAATATAAAATAAGCATGCTGTTGCCTGGCATCCAAAAAAATGTTTATATTATACAGCATCTGTGCATTGTAGTGAATTAATAGAATATAAAAAAATAAAAACTTTGTTAACTATATTTACAGATTGGAATCTATCCAAAGACCAAATAGCACATTAGTTAACAGATCATTGTGGATGATGGTCTAATTAAAAACTTTATCGCACATATGATCTTTGGACTGTCGTTGAGAAGTCAGCATATATCTGTTGTTATGCCGACAATTAGATTCAATTTGATTGGAGGAAAAATAAAAAACTAAAATGTTACTCTTATAATTGCAACAAATCAAGGATTGTCTGGCTTAAATTATTCATATGATTCTTATAAGACTATATTGACTCTAGATGGTCAACGCTAACTAATACATCAATTTGTCAAGTGATTTTGTTTGATAGGACACCAGTAAATATGGATTTCATTGTTATAGCTAAAATCATTAAAACTATTATTTACCGTCCATATTTTGTGTGGACACACTTACAAAGGAGCAACTAAGGGGGTGCTAGGTGGACTTTAGCACCCCCAAAAATTGAAATCCCAATCATTGATTTTTACGCATACAATTTTAATAATGTACCTACATAGTACATACTCTATTTACATTTTTTATTTTAGAATATTTTTGTATTTTAATATTTTATTTTATATCTAATGGTTTGAAAATAAGAATTATGTTTAGTCAGGTATACATAATTTTAGAAACCCTTAAATTGTAAATTTATGCACACTTACACAAGAAAACACAAAATACGATAGAAGTAATATTTTGGTACTGTTTTTAAAATGGTGTATGTAATCTATGTTTAATGAACAACAGTGGCATGGAGCCAAAAGCTGTTGAGTTTTTGTGGATGATTCCGGTATTAAATTAATACCGAGCGTGACACGGTGAAAATAGAAATGGAGATTACATTTCGAAAAAAAAAAAATAAAACTCAAATTCGTCTGTACTTACTGACGATGTGTATCATGAATGAACCGAACACCACAAACCAGCCCCATCCGCCGTCCGGTGGTCCTTTGCACGCGGCCGCCTTTTTTTCGGGTGTTTTCTTCGACATTTGGCGGCCAAGCCAAATGGTTCGTTTAGCCAATCCAAAAGAGACGAAGACGAAAACTCGTATCGCCAGTCGTCGTGGGAAAAGACAATATTAAGACGGTTATATTTTATTATAATATACTAACTAAGCCAAATAAGTTTAACGGTTATATTAAAAATTAGAAATATTGTTAAACGAAAAACGAGAAAACATGAATGGGGGGTGTATTATATTTTCTACGGGACGACGAAAAACTATATTATTGAAAATATTTCGAGTAAAAAAAAAAAAGTAAAACCAATTCAAAAAATAAAAATGTTTTGAATAAACGATACCACTAGGACGTATCGTGTGCGGCTCACGTCGGTTAATACATGGCACTGAAGTCTGAGAGACGGGTACAGGCATGAGTCGAACCAATACAAACTACAGCTGGCGCTGGCGACTGACGGTTGATACACGGCGAACGCTACGGCGTCCTTATCATTTGTCGATTTTCGCATTGCGCCTTATCACTGACGCGGCCATGTGACCGCAACGGTGTTTTCGACTGAACGCAACGGTGCGTTACGTTCGCCCAACGGCGCGATCCGTGCGTACAGCCTGTCGCGGTGCTACAACAGCTGCGGGTTAGAATTTAGATTGTGATTCAAACTCCAAAGTCTAAACTATGTAGTGTACCATAGAAAAGTTTTTGTCTTATAAAAGTTCGTAACAAAAAATATATTTGAATCAAGTTATACCCAAATAATCCCCGTTTTAAAGCAAAATTGATAAATATCAAAAGGGTACGAAACACCCTTGCGTTGATTGCATATTGGAACGGGCGCGGGGCGGCGTCTATGTGTATATATTTTTATAAATTATAATAATGCCTGAAGACCTGTGATCTCCCCCGATCCATCTTCATCGTGTTCCCACCCCACAGTGCTGGCTTTTGTTTTCTTATATTAAACTACGGTTGATTAAAATGTTGTATGCAAGTTCTTTTATTAAATCTCGTAAAATATAAGTATATTACGTGCCAGAAACCCCGCCAAAAAAAAAATCGTTTCAGTTGCCATCCATAAAACCACAGTTTTTTAGTTTTTTCTGTGTAGAAAAAATTATGTATTCAAATTTTCTATTTTAACAAAAATTTTTACCAAAAACCATTTTCAAGATTTTAATACAATTTTTAGTATATTTTTAAAATAACATTTACTTTTGTGTTATATTCTAATTAACACCTTCTATGATATAACGTATTTAGTGTATACCTATTTATATAACAATTAACAGCCAAAACAGCGTCTCACTCAGTCTGATATAATATACACAATTGTTATTGATCTTGTGCTAATTTTATTTACCGATCTGGACTGTGCTATTATAAATTAACGATAATCAATCAATATGTCTGTAAGTGGTAATTAATTTTATCTAGTTTCATAAACTAAAATAAAATAAATGATTTTATACTTCTTTGTTTCTGAAAGGTCATCATTTTTCATGTGTCGAGGCATCAGGCAGTGGTCGAACTTCACCAAATCTATTCGCAATGGCTTTTAACACCTTATATACGTATATAATATACAGTTATATTAAGTGTTTTATTTAGATAATATCAATATATATATATATAATTATTGTTTACAGGTTGCTTCAACTTTCTACAATGTAAAATCCACTTTGTAGTTCATATAATAAAATATATCGGTCAATGTAATTTATCACTTATTTTTTTACTCAATTATTATACTTGTTATAAATATATATGTATATATAACCAGATTGTAAACGAATTACCTAATAGCTAATATAAAACACATCTGACTTATGGTAAAAACATTTTCTTGAGTCTATCAAGTTACTTATTGCAGGCTTAACGCTAAGCCTAGCTTGTACTCTTACTGAAGAAGATACTTAAGAAGAAAGTTAACCCCCCTCCTCCAAAAATAAATGTTTGTTAAAAAAATTGAATTATTTAACTAAAACTAAAGGGTTTCAAGACTCTAATTCCAATACTTGATTAGAAGGTTCTAGAGATTATATGCAATAAAAAAAAAAGTATGACAAGAAACAATTTTTTTAATTCTTAGAAAATCTTATGAAGTTTCTGATTTTGTATTTTTTTTTAAGCAACATTAAAATGTCATAGATAACTCCGAAACTATTGATAATAGAATAAATTTTATTCCGCGAAAGAACATTACATTTTTACTTCGGTGTTTTGTCAACGATGTTTTAGTAAAAAAGCCAGTACAGTAGGGTCGGGGCATAGTGGAGACGAGGAGGTCACAGGTCTACAGGAATAATTATTATAACTTTAAGTGATAAAACCGCTTTTAAATAAACGCTTCAATACAAATCTGTAAATGGTAGGTTCAAACTTTTTTTTTTTTAAGTTTTTAATCGTAATTTTAAATTAAAAAATATGTTAGTTGTTGGATGTTTTTTTCGATTTTGAAGGGGTGACATTTTTTAATTTTTGACCCAATGAAGTACCTTTTAGGTACAATTTCTGATCTATAGAGCGATGGTTTAGCACACAAATGTGTGAATGTGATAACTAGTGATCACACACCATAGGTTACTATAGTAGGGAATTATAGTTACCACGATATTGTTTAGGGACATTAAAATTAATAAATTAATAACGCAAAAAAAGTAGGTGAAATTTTGTGTTCAATAAAATAGAGGTTGCTAATTTTGCGACCCGTCACACTGGGAGCAAACCAATCACTTGACAATTTGTCAAACGAAGAGATAACTCATAAGTCATAACTATAATATGTATCCTTGTAGAAGGTTAGTAAGCATAATTTTTGCCACACATGATTAGATTCGACTGTTCTCAGAAAAGTAAATCGATTAGTCAAAATCGCTGAACATTCCGGTCATTCAACATACTATATACCCACAATCGCAAAAAAAATCGAATGATTCCGTGTATCTGTTCACTAGTATCTTTATAATAGCGCATTATTTAATCGATAAGTTAATTTTGTACATTGCCCTCATCAATAATAATATGAGTGTAATTATTTGTAATGTCAATTTGAGAACAAAACGCATATTATGTTAAACCGATTTTGAATTCAAATTTTCAGTATTTTTACTTAATGTGATAAAACAACACGATTTTGAAACAAAACCCAAAATACATCAGCTTTGTATGATTTTTTAGTATGTCTAAATGTAACAAAAGTATATTTTATACAATAACGGCTCACTAAACTAAAATCTAAATAGTTAAGTTTTTCAAGTTTTTAACGCAAGTTTTGCTTTAAAAAAATACTAATTGAACTCTTAAACCAGTTCAATAACAGTTTGTAGTGAGTACAACAAACAATATAGACTTAATTGTACTATTGAACAAAAATTATTAAAATGTCAGATATAACATGAAGTAGTATTTGTTTACAACTTGAGAGGAGATATAAAATAAACGTGCAAAATAAAAAAATCCCACCTATAGATTTCTTTATCCTAGAATTTGACTGAAAATAATATCGCTTTAGGATAGTATTTAACTTAAAATTGATTAAATCAGACAATAGGAAGGACTTTAACCTTATTGACCGACGTCCCCACCCTTAATGTAGGTACATAACTATATCTACAAATTTAAGTTATTTGTGAATAAAACAAAGGTTCTAAATAAAAAACTATTAGTATTTTCTTGCTATACATTTCGTGTATTTTTTAAGACTATTTTTAAATGCATATTTGTAAAATGCATTGTCATTTGTCATCGTATTTCAAAATGACCAAATATTCATGGTTTGTGGATTCAAATGTTTTAAGCTAGCTTCACAACTATAACTTATAAGAAACGGAAATTTCAAAATTACATTTCTTACTAACATCTATGTACTACAATCAATATATTGTAAACTGGCATGCAATTGGAGGTTTCAACAAGTAACAACTACTTAGATAGCACACCTCAAATCGCAAAAATACATTTTTTTGTTACATTGCACTAAGAAGTGTTAATATACCTTATTTTTAAATCTGTACCATAAATAAAATAACTAACGCCACATACACTACTAAGAGGTTTCATATACTTAGACAATTTTTTGTGAAGCCCTTATTTAAAGCCAATAATATCAATAATAGTGTTTATTTAATAGCTCAATCATAGGAAATCTTTTTTTTTTATAATAATTAGTTTTTGCATCAGACTTCGATAGTTTTCATAAATATTATTTTAAACAGTTCTTTTCTTAACCAGTTTAGTTTGTTTCTTAACAACTTTAATTGTGATTCGGATAGGATTATAGGATACTATTAAAACCTGGGGAAAATGAAGGTAAATAATTATTTTTATAAAAAATAACACAGCCTTCCGTATCTATTATTTAATTTTAATTATGTAATAAATTGACGTATATTAAAAATTCATTTTTTAACTAAAATATAAAATGTTTAATTGTTTTATGACAGAAATCGTACTTTCGTTATAAACCGAACGATTATATTAGTATATAAATATACTGAATCGTACAAATTTGCCCAATTTATATAAACAATTATCTCACTAGGTTTATTTGTTTCATGAGAGCTTAGACCTTTTTAAAAACACGAGTAGCTAACCTTTCTAGTGGCCCGGGTGGGGGAGGAGGGCGGTAAATTAGGTTAATAATTGCTTATTTAATAGTAACCTAATGTATTAGGGTATTATAATTAATATTATAAAAATAATATAATTAGGTAAGTTGCTGATGAGTGATGGATTCCAAGAAACATATTTCCAATAATTTAAATAAATGGCAAGTATATAAGGTTATGATTTTATAAATTTTTGTTTAAAATTCTATTATGTCAGATTTTGTTTTTGTTAAAACTTAAAAGAACTCTGGGTTGAGGTTGATAACCTTCCCCCTCCACTCAGGTCTACAAATTATTATCTAACGCAACAGTCTGCAAGTTGAGAACAATAATAATTAATACTGCTATGACCTATGCGGATTTCTCATTTAGATAACGATGTTATCAACCGTTTTAATATCTATGGTTTCAACCACGATCTTATCACAGAATATCACAGTTATTCTGTGATCTTATCGTGGTTTGAACTATTCAAGAGTTTACACATTGATAAACGATTGGGAAGTGGGAACAACAAAAAAAACCAAAAGCTCGGCATGAATAGCTATGAACATTGAACTATGAAGAGATGAATTTTTGCTTAAAAGATAAAATTGTCTGTCGTATTCAGCCTGTTTATTTAAAAAAAGTACATAGTTTTTACACCGAGTTTATTATAATTTTGTAGTACTTATCTGTGTCAAAAATTACCATATTGTTACAATATACATTTTAGAAGGCCAACTTAGGCAGTTTTCCACATGTTTACTCAACGTGTTGAATAATGTTTACTTATCGTAGTTTGTGTTAGACCTGCTGTGTGCGCGTTCAACCAGCAACATTGTTTTTCTGTGGCCAACGAGTCCGTGTGCCATGATAGAAATAATTCATACAATTGTTATGCGTCGTTCGAATAAATCGTATTGACTGTAAATTGTCAATTTATTCTGTTGTAACATATTTTTTGTTGGTAAAAATATATTATGGTAGGAAAAAAAATTGTTCATCGTTATCCCACACCATGACAAAATAAAAATATTGTTTGTGTGTGTGTGTGTGGTTATGGGCGACACGGCGTTGGTATCAATGATTGGGCGGGGGGTGGCAGAAGGGAATGGATGAGGTAGGGATGTGTTATTTCTCTTATCAGGTGTTCCACGGCCGTATGACGACGGTGGTTGGTACTTTGTGTTGAACAACAATGCCATATCGTATATTCGTATATTATTTGTCTATGATCGTCTGATGAGTGTGTAGCTGCCGAAAGTTTATGTTAACGGCGTACATTGTCCATCTGCATTCTGTGTTTTTTTGTTGTATCGAAAATTCATCAAAACATTTTATCGTGACCGTAACGCCATATCGCAAATTGTGTACGGACGGCAAATCATTGACATCAAGCAGACACAAACGCGTATGCATTTACACCGGCAACAAGGATAAGCCCCCCTGCCATCAGTGAGACACCCACGGCAGTCGTTCGACATCTTTTTTCGACACACTCAACGTTCCCGAATCACCAGTAAGTGTACAGCTGTCCTGTTCGGTTGCTGATCATTCTAAGGGGGTGAGTGTTTGTCCGATCCGATAACTTTCCGTCGTATGTCGATTCCGTAAAACGTTCTCGCCTGATATCGATAACATTATGATGACCGGTGTCAGACGTTTGTATTGCGATTATACTGTTGTACTTTGTGCCAATTTTTATTGTAATAACTTATAATACACAATGGTGATCTACGATTATTAAGTTGAACAGACTCTACACGCGAGTCACTATCAATAGGTACCTAGGTAATAGTTTTTTTTTTTTTTGGATGAATCGTTAATATTTTATTAAAAATTAACAATGTCAATATATTATCACTTAAAAAAAAAAATAGCAAATAAGGAGCAGAGTGAGATCGTATATAATTTTGGTTACAAATTGTTGTTCTTCCACATTCAAAAACATTCCCTGTTTAGTTATTACTATTAAATTATTGATGATAATTATAGTGTAGAAGTGTAACCTTTATGATTTCGGGTACATTAATTTAAAACGTTTATTAAAAGTGACATGTAAACAGGTTTACCTATATTACTATGGACTTATGTTTTTTATAATATAATCTACCTGTTTTGATCATGAGTTAAAACTCTAAGTTTTATAGCACTAAATTTCAGTGTTTACATTTGTTCAAGAGCCTGTAGATAAATGTTTCAAATGGTTTTTTTTTTTTCAATACCTACCTCCATTTAAACATTAACGATTTTACTAATTTAGGTGAGGGACATCAAATGAACCAGTGTACACTAGGTTTACCATATCGACTCACATTTTTCTGCTAATTAATATTTATAATGACAAAAAGTAGTGTTGTGTGAGGGCTAAAATGACGCTCACATAATTTTACAGTTAGGTGCCTCAGTATGGTCACTTATTTTTAATAATTATTGTTAGTTACATATTATGGTAATTATTGGCACTCTAAAAATATTATCTAAAATCAATAATCTCTTTAATGATTAGTAAACTTCTAATTTGGGTATTAGTTAAATGTTATCACTGTTGTTTAAATATTAAAATAAATAGTGTCGCTTAGGACAAAATAGCCCTTTTGTTCTTTTGTCCTAAAAGCTTTCATATTATAAAATATTTCTTTCTTTAGTATTTCATGCAATATTATGAAAATTGAAATTATAATTTTTGGTAAATCCTCTTGCAATTAATTTACTTGTCAAAGATATTTGGTTTATTTTATTTGTTATGTGATTTAGCGAATTTAAATTAAATTCACCTTTGATAAAAATAAATATAAGTATAAATTGTGATTATTTTGATATCTAATATTTTTGTTGTTAAACTTTGTTCACAGGTATTAAAATTTAGTCATTGAAAATGTCGTCTTCCTCTCAGTATTCGTATATATTCAAATACATAATCGTTGGTGATATGGGTGTCGGTAAATCATGTTTGCTACATCAGTTCACTGAGCAAAAATGTAAGAAAACTAGTATTTATTTTAACAAAAAATATGATTACAAATTAACGTTAATTTTTTCCTTGATAGTTACTGCCGATTGCCCTCACACGATTGGTGTAGAATTTGGAACCAGAATCATCGAAGTGTCTGGAAAGAAAATCAAACTTCAAATCTGGGACACGGCCGGACAAGAACGTTTTCGAGCTGTCACTAGGTTTATATTGATGCAATGTTATTGTAAAAACGTTGAAATTACAATGTATTTATTCTAAACTATATTTATAGATCATACTATCGTGGAGCAGCTGGTGCACTCATGGTATATGATATCACCAGAAGATCATCGTACAACCATTTGAGCAGTTGGCTGTCCGACACTCGCAATCTCACTAATCCAGGAACTGTAAGTATCATATTTTTATTAACTGAAATATTGTTAAATCGTCTTCCATAGAGTTTAAAATTAAATTGTTTAAGCTATCTTAATTTATTAACTTGAATACTAGACTTGAACTTTTATGAAATCAGTAAGTATAGTATAATAGTAACAAATAAAGATATTGGTTATGCATAAAATTTAAAATTTACCGTATTTATATCTTTGTGACCTGAAATTTAGTTAACACTAGTTTAAAAAACATGGTTTTTGTTTAACCATTAAAGTGGAATACTTATATTTAAATTGAAGTTTTTATTTGTTAGTGATTTTATCGCTTTCAGTTATAATAATTCTTGTATATCTGTAGGCGCCCCGATCCCACTTTACTGGCATTTTGATCATTAAAATTTGTTGTAAAACTATTTTTAGTATTTTATTTTAGTTGTCAAACATATTTTCTTTTAAACAATACATTTAATATAGTGTCACATTATTATCACTTAATAAAATAAAATAGGTACTTACACAAAATAAAATGGGTAGAATGTCTGTTTTTTTGCTAAACATTTTTTTTTTTATATTCTGATGTACTAATAATTATTTTTTGAAAAATTATTTGATTTCTAGGTGATTTATTTAATTGGAAATAAGTTAGACATGGAAGCAAACCGCGATGTGTCATATGAAGAAGCCAAGCAGTTCGCCGAAGAAAACGGCCTAATGTTTTTGGAAGCTAGTGCTAAAACGTAAGTCAAAGCAATTTATAAAAAATATATTTTATCCTAAAGGGTCTACATTGATGTGGCTTTTGGACCTGTCTTAATATTGTGTGTTTAATTATTTTTATGATCTGTCATTTAGTGGTGAATTTGTCGAAGACGCATTTCTTAAGACTGCTCAGATTATCTACGAGTGTATTCAAGATGGAAGGTGGGTGTATTGTGTTTTTTATGAATACAATGGTTTTACACAATTTAAACATAGTGTAAAATAATATTTAGTTTGACAGAAATAGTAATGTTATCTGTATTTATCATCATTTTAGATTGGACTTAAATGCTGCCGACTCGGGAGTTCAACAGAAAATACTACAATGTGAAGTAAACCCTAATGTTGAAAAAGATAAGACATGCATGCAGTGTTAAGATGTGTATTTGTATTAAAAAAAAAAAACAAGTAGCTATAGTCAAGAATGTATTCCTTTATACTATTTCAGTGATCTTTTACTTGATGGAATCTTGTATCTTATATTTTATGATGTTTTATATATATATTTTTGTCTATAGTAGAAAAACTTTCCAAACATTTATTATATATATATGCATATGTAATGAATGCATTATTATATATTTGTGTATATATAATGACCATTTTATTTATACGCCCATGTAAACTTGCGCTTAAATATACTTGCATACTTTACTAATAATAATAGTAATAATTATAATATAACAACATGTATGTTTACACATAAATATATACGCATATAATTGTTTTTAATAATAATAATTAAATTTGTATTTGTATTACCTAATTTACTTTTTTTTTTAAACTATAAATATTAATATTTTTAAAGGATTTTTTTTGTTGATTTTATTATGTTGTTACATCTTTGTTGATGTAAAAAAAAAAATTATTATAACGAAAAAAATATTTAATTTAATTGAATTATACTCGTTAATGTTATCTGCAGTGCTTGAATAAGAAAAAAAAACTTATTTTCGTGCTTAGCTAAGTTTTGTTTCGCTTTATTACATCAAATTTATATAATATAATTAGAAAAATTAGAAAACTATGATTTTTGATATTATTATTTATTTTATTATATAATTAGTATTAAAAATAAAACCATAAAAATAAATAAATAGCTCTTATTCACAGTGTTTTAATTTATCTTAAGATAATCTTTGGTGGTGTTAACTATTGTAATATTTTTAAATAAAACCTATTCCATTTTTATGTTATTCTTTTGCCGAAAGTTTATTTAATTGTTTTTCAAAATTGTTTTCTTTAATTATTTATGTGTGTGGATTTATTTTCAAATAACCTCATAGTAGTTGCGTCTTTGAAAATATCCCATTAGCGGTTGCGCCGTGTTATTGCCACCACTTTCTGTCTAGTCGTAGAACGTTTTTTTTTTCTGCTAATTATGTAGCCCATCAACTAAAGAATAGAAAAACTTACTCCAGGTTGACCTCACGCCTTTAAATGCATTGCGATGTTTTTCAGTAAAGGCGGAGTAAACATCGCTGGGAGGACTGCTAGGAAGTAAGACAGAAAAAAATATTATTAATGAAATTATATAATTAAACTACAAAGAAACAATGGTGTACAGTGTGATTTCTTATAATTCAATTTTATAAAAAAAATTAACATATTTGCTCCTGCCTTTTCACTTTAAGACCCTTAGATACAATTTTAAATTACTTAGATACTTAAAATATTGTCATAGTATAAAAATAATCAAGAGGGCTAGAGTCCTTTTTTTTTTTGTAAGAAACAAAATAATAATTCATATTTTTCGCTAAATTCGATATTAGTTTTAGAACTGTTTTGATTTAAAACCATTTCCAAAATTGTAAAAATCACAAATAAGCTATTTTTTTTTCTGATTAAACACCGATTTCAGAATTTCCTTAGCACTTTAATTTACTTTTTAAATCTCCCTGCCTACATTGTACATTTACATCTTAGATTCGGGGGCGCAATTTCGCTATGTTAAGTGGAGGTGCCTAAGCACTGAAAAATAAGAGAATCCCCTCGCCTCGCTTCTTATGGTACATAAGTATTAAGTATAACATAAATCTGGGGATGCAAAGCACACCTAAGCTCTCGCCATATTGTACCTATGTATAGAGTAGGTAACTAATACGGTGGTTCTTTATTACAAGTATTATTTTAAACTATGTGAATGGTTTTAACCACCTAACTGAATATTCAATATCAAAAAGTCGAGAGATTTGTACACTGACGAGTGACGCAGAAGATATAAATGTGGATTTATATTTTGCATAACATTTCGTTCGCATATTATCGTCGGCGGTCTGACGTCATGCAAATCGGTTGGTAAATAACATAAAAATACATATTTTTTATTAACAAGGAAGATTGCACAATAATAATAATAATCGTAACAAATATATTAGATTTTATGCTATAAAAGTTTATGTTTTAATCACGGACGTCACGTCTTAGGATTTTGGTGTTCGCACAAGTCGACCTTCGGACTTTTTCGAGTTGAAATGTCGGCTACCACATATACCAACGTTACCGTACTTGCGTCAACCAACGTGTTACGACGTTTCGACATTCACCACTTGTGATAAAAAAAAACCACCTTATCAGTGACTGTCTTTGCAGAAGACCGACAACAATATTTCCATCACCATTTACAATATTGCAAATTGTAATTCCACCGCTAGTCAACAGACGGCAGTCGAACAACGTATTGTTGTAACGTTAACATACCTACTCTGTGTCGACACTTACATAATAGTTAAAAAAAATATTCTCTAAAACTGCTTATCCGTCCTAATACTCAGGAAGTCGCTTTCCCTTTCTCTTAAAAAAAAAAAAACAGAAGAAGCTAAAGAAAAACAATCGTGCTTACAGATTTTTTGCACTTAAAGAATACGTTTTATTTTGATCTGGGTCAACCAGAAGAAACGCGAAAGTTGTAAAAAACAAAAAATATGTCAAAACCCAAAGTTTATGTTGTCGGTGTTGGCATGACCAAGGTAAGATGCAAATGACCTAAATAATTAATTAATAATTTGTGTAGTTGTATTTTTTAACCACGGACTTGTTATGAATGTTTGTTGAGAATGTGTTTTAATTTTCACTTACAGTTTTAATGTTTAAAAAAGTGCATTTCACAATAACTAAGACTTGGCTTTAATTTGCTTGCATATTTTAACCGTTTAATATGTCTTGTTTTAGTTTGAAAAACCTGGTCGCCGAGAGAATTTTGATTATCCTCAAATGGCCGTTGAGTCTGTTACCAAAGCTTTACAAGACGCCAAAATCGGTATAGAAAAAGTAGACCAAGCGTGTGTCGGTTATGTATACGGTAATGAAATGTGTTATTGAAATAATATTTCAGCAAAAGTATTATTTGAACTTTGGTTTAATAACTTATTATAGGTGACTCGACTTGCGGCCAACGAGCTCTTTATGAAATCGGTATGACCGGCATACCAGTTTACAATGTAAACAATAACTGTTCAACGGGATCTACAGCCTTATTTTTGGCCAAACAACTTATCGAATCAAAAAATGCTGATTGTGTTTTGGCACTCGGCTTTGAAAAAATGGAAGCCGGATCTTTAACTGCAAAAGTAAACCAACTCATTTTACAGAAACCTAACTTTAACTCATTATCTATTCTGCTTGTGCTTGGATTTCTAGTATTTGGATAGAACCAATCCAATGGACAAACACGTAACTTTAATGGGTGATATTGTTGGCTTGGACGCTTCACCGATTACTGCACAGCTATTTGGAAATGCGGCTTTAGAATACATGGAAAAATATAACGTTAAGCCAGAAACCCTTGCCAAGATTGCTTACAAAAATCACAAACATTCCGTCAACAATCCGTTAGTAGTTCTTTTTTAAAATTTAAAATTAAATATTTACTAATAAATTTAATTAAAAAATTATCTGAATTATCCACCTTCTCGGGAAACAAATTGAGTAAATGATATGTTTTTAGCCTCGAGGAGTGTTTGAATGTTTAATGTTATTCACAATAAGGGAGATGATGATCGAGTTTGAATAATGGAAGTACTCAAAATAAAATGTTAGCATCAAACCACTGAAACATTAAAATATGATATTGTTTTTAATATTTTTGCTTAGGTTTAATTATGAGAGCTGACGGTTTGTTGATTTTCTGTTACTTCTTTGATTGGTATTATCAATTATTTTCAGCTACTTAACAATTATGTTCTTCTGTTAAGCCTACTCAATCGTTTTCTCTTCATTGGTTGAAGAGTGACAGTTGTCACTCACAACATTTTTGTTCTAGTAGGTTATATTCACAATACGCTCTACAATTATTATCGGCGTTCAAAGCCATTGCAAATATTGAACAATTAATTATATTGAAAAGAGCTATATTTGTAAACAGTAGTTTATAGAAATGCTAACAATTACTGATACACTTGTCTTATGGGCTGTTGATTGCCTGTTATTGTTACAGTTGTTATCGACAACATAATTATGTAATCTTTTAACTACCAAACTTTTATGAGCCCGATACCGTGAAAACGGTACTATGAATTTGGTGAAGCTAATTTTAGAATGATCCCCAGCCCAAAAGCATTCATGTTAAAAGTACAAATATATATCTAGTTTAGAGTTAAAAATTATATATGTATAAGGTGTTAAGTTCTGATTTTTACCAATGTATTCCTTGCACTTTCGGTGAAAAATAACAAATTATATTTTATGTTATTAAGTAAATATTAGACTATAATATTTATATATTTTACTGAATACGAATGGACGTCATACATTAATACTTATAATAGTATAAGAAAATTGTATTAACATTTTTTTTAGATATTCTCAATTTCAAAAAGAATATTCTTTACAAGAGATCCTTCAGTCGCCAAAAGTGTTTGGACCGTTGACGAAATTGCAATGTTGTCCAACTTCTGACGGTTCTGCTGCAGCAATTTTGGCATCGGAACGTTTTGTTATTGAAAACAATCTTCAATCGCAAGCTATTGAGATTGTCGGAATGGAAATGGCTACAGATCCACCGACAACCTTTTCTGATAATAGCATTGTGAAAGTCGTACGTACTTATCAATTTTGTTGCAATTTGTTAAAACTGATTGAATTTTATATTTCACAGGTGGGATATGACATGACCAAATTAGCAGCTAACAAATTATTTAGCAAAATCAAAATTAAACCCACCGACGTCGATGTGGTAGAGTTGCACGATTGTTTTTCTGCCAACGAATTGCTTACATACGATGCATTAGGACTTTGTGCACCAGGAAAAGCCGGGGAATTTGTCGAGTCTGGCGCAAATACTTATGGTGGCCGCGTTGTGGTCAACCCTAGCGGCGGGTTGATTTCAAAGGGTCATCCTTTAGGAGCTACAGGTAAGTTATTTTCCTGAACTTACATAAAATATTATTTACTTTCTTCATATTGTCTTTTGTTACCAGGTATCGCTCAATGCAGTGAACTCTATTGGCAGTTGCTTGGTAAAGCTGACAAAAGACAAGTGTCTGGTGCTAAAGTCGCTTTACAACAAAACATCGGTTTGGGAGGAGCTGTAGTTGTAGCTTTATATCAACACGGTTTCCCCAGTTTAGCGCCGTAAGTGCTAAATTTTAATTTTTTAATTGTTATTGAATTTATGTATTTGTTTTATTACCAGAAAATCTCAAACGTCTCAACAATCGGCCAAACCCACAACCGACAAAGACCCATCAGTGTTCAAAGTTCACAAGGCATTTAAATTACTCGAACAAGCAATGTTAGATGATAAAGAAGGCAATATCAACAAAGTCCGCGGCATATATTGTTTCAAAGTGTCTAACAACAAAAAACAAGAAGGCATGTGGATCATCAATGCCAAAGACGGCAAAGGCAGCATCACGTTTTATGGCAAAGGTGAAAATGTTTTTATGGCTTCGATGCTGTTATATTTTTTATTTTTGTGCCTGGACACTATATTTTTTAACCCTCCAGACTGATTTCTATAAGTAGTAAGTTTGCAGGTCAGAAATTGTTACAATGTATTTAATAAGGCTTAAAGTAAACCAAATTACTTCTTTTATAATCGAAAAAACACCTAAAAATGTACACATTTTTCTACTTATAATTATGGCATGCCATTACTTTTAGAAAAATAGTTAAGTTACTTTTAAAGTTGTGTGAGATATTCCTTACTGCACTAGCGATGTACAATGAATAACCAAGAAAAACATTAATCCATTCCTCCAAACTTTTTATTTATTTTGCTTTTTGTAATGTAGAAAAATAGGGAAAGTTAAAGAATATAGTATGATCGCTACCTCAAGAACGGCTTTATTATGGTAACGGACTATTACAATTTTTATAAAATTGATTTTAGAAAAACCGGACGTTACGTTCACAATGAAAGACGACGACGTCGTAGATTTAATAACGGGAAAACTAAATCCGCAAAAGGCTTTCTTCCAAGGCAAAATCAAAATTCAAGGAAATATGGGTTTGGCGTTGAAATTAGTCGAGTTGCAGAAGTTAATGGAACACAAAATAGCAGAATTACGAGCAAAGTTATAGGTATATTTGTTATTGTTATTTATGGATATTGAATTTTAAAGGATTTTCAATGTTTTTTTGTAAAAATATTATTGGGCTGGTATGACAAGATATTAATATTTTCATTATTGTATTTTTTAAAAGGTCTATTGTGGTTTTAGGACTTGTGTATGGTTTTTTTTATTATATATTTTTTTTTTATATTGAATATTTATTACGTTTGTATTTTATACGATGTTAAATGTACGACATTCCATTACAATTGTTGGGAAATATACTATAAAAGTCTGATGTAAAATTTGATCAAAATCAAACAATTGAAATGTGTTTTTTGTGTTATTTACAAAACTGATTAGTAGGATAAACATTTTTCTAGCCCTTCATTGTGGAGTATAACTTGATGAGTTTTATTTGAATACTGGATTTCTTCTCTTTACGGCATGTCCGAACCTAGACTTGTTAAACCTGTGACGTCTTCAACTCTCCGTTGTCCACAATAAAGCGTTTTGCATTTACAGATAAAATGAGTAAGCACTAAAGTTATTAAGAATGTAAAACTAATAGTTCCAATCCGTTACCTAACGCTAAAGAAAAAAAATGTTTGGTCGAAATGAAACACACTTAAAAAAAATCCCTATGATGCAACCACTTTTGCATACCTACCGCACTCTTTTTTTAAAGTCATATGTAATTAATAATCATACTACAAGATTGGCAGACTGAAACGATTGGGTACGGTTATGTCAGCAATCAAACTTTTTTACAAACAACGAACCAATGATTGTAATCCATAACAGACCAAAGACTAGACTAACAATGCACAAAACATTATATCAATTTACTTTAATAATTTTTCGTAAAAATCATGGACATTTTATGTTTAAAATAAAATGATTTATGTATTATCACTAATTTTTTTTAAAACAAAAAAACATTATGAAAATTTTAATTTTTTCCGCCTAAAACTAATATTGTTTTCTTGGAAAAAACCTCTTTTGTAAAAAAAATTTCAACTTGTTTTTTAGTTTCTTCAATTTTCAGTATTTGAAAAAGTATTAACCATTATATATATATAGTATATAGTAAAAAAAACAAGTTGAAATTTTTTTTAATTGTATTCTTTTATTCATAATAAGTTTTTTTTATAAAAACCACTTATATATATATATATATATATATATATATATATATATATATATATATATATACATATTACTAGGGATAATGGAACCCTAGAGCCTGTGATTTTCTGAATAAACTGTCTCATAGTAACAACAATTCAACCATATTTATTTTAACGTGACAGTTGCTAAACACTTTAAGTCTAAATTATGTAGGGGCTTGAAGGTAAAGGATGTTCAGTGTTAATAAAACAATATATTATACAGGTATATGATTTAATGAGTGTTCAGTGGCCGTCGTGTGTGTGAATTTGAAATTCAATTCCATATCGTTGTATAATACGAACATTATATGATAATGAGTAATATACAATGCATATTTCAGTCGGTTATACAACTGTTTTTTGCTTCATAAATGGTAGTGTAAATGTACCCAATGGGAATAAATAAAAAATAGAAATCCTAAATTATAAATTTGCTTATAATAGTTGAGCCGTCATATTTCATCAATAAAGGTTATAACAAAAAAAAAATTATATAATATAATGCATGATAAAAAATAATACATTCATATTAAAATTGTTTTATTCAGTTAGTCTCATCCAGTAGGCAAGTATCATAACTCATTAGTAATAAACTATATATTATATACATATCATGTACCTAAATATTTTATTATGTGTAATTCGAATTGGTATTTGCACAAACGCATTAAAAATAATAAGTGATTGCCTAAAACTTTATTTATTATTTATCTTTAACTTTGGAACTGTTTTATACGATTAAAGCAAAATTAGGTAATAACTATTTTTAGATAGAAAAATATTTAAAACATTTTTTTTACTTTACTTTGATGTGATTATGAAATCGTTTCAACTCAACGATTTTTGTGTGAGATAGAAAGAAAAATAATGAATTCTGAAAAAATGATATCAATGAATGTTCAGATTTCGAAACCGAATTACAAAGAAAAAAATCAATACAAAAAAATTATTTAAAAAAAAAATCTAGTCAGAACCAATTTTTTAAGGTTAACTAAAGTTTGGGGTTTACGATTAAGATTGTACATTGATTGTATCTCTGTATATGACTATCGAATTTAGAAAACAAATTCAAATCATACAACATCGTTTTTTCAGAGCAGTTTTAAAGTAAAAACAATTATAAATTAATAGTTAAACTATTAATTTATAATTGTTTTGATGAATATTTTGACTGTTGCCCAGCAAAATCATAACGACAACACAGAAAATAAATTGCCGTTATAAATTTTGTAAACTTATTCTATCGTTATTGTCATTTTTTCAACTAGTAAACTTCGTTTGAGTGCGGGACTTAATCAGAGTACTCATTTTATAACTGAAGAAATTGAAGGTAACTTCTATTTAACATAGATTAGCTATTTTCTAGATTGTACTAAAGTTACTTTTTGTTGTGGCATTCTCAGTCAGACGTTGAGGCCAACATTTTGAAAGGGTTCTCAATGTTTTTTCAAAAAAACAAAAAGTTACAGTCTACTTAAAGCTAGCGGCTAAAAGTATAAAACATGGAACATGCTTTAGCCTGCTGGCTCCTGGCGACGACTCGCTACTTTCGTGACGCTATTTCGTGTCGCTATTTTATGTCGTTTTCGACATAAAATCTGGGATGCCAAGGTTAAAGCGTGTTCCATGGTAAAAAAAGAAATCTATAATTCCGTTTTCGACCAAAGCAAAACAATTTTTCTATTAATTTTATGTTCGTATACGGAAGTATACGGAGTATACGGAAAAACAGTATTAATTGTATTTTTATATACATAATAAATTGTATATATAATATGTTATTATTTCATTATCATAATGAAATAATAACATGTGTATTGCATAATGACATTATGCAATACACATTTTAACACTGATGTAAAAATAATTAACCAGTCTAGACGGAAAAATTAAATAAATAGATTAAAAGCTAATATTTTAGAAATTAAAATTAATTATTTAAAATTAATCATTGTTTTGGAAAGGTCAATTACACAAAAAACTGTTTTTAAAAAACTGCAATTATTTCTTTAAGAGAAAATGATTTTATGCGTAAGATATATTTTTTTTAAATTAAATTATTTTTTTTAAATTCTTCTCTAAAAGAACATAGTTTTTAAGTTTTATTCAGTAGAAGTTTAATAAAAATTTCTTAGAACTACGTTTTCTCTTATATAATATTGTATAGTATAATTAAAACTTTAGATTTTCATGGATTCAGTGAATTTTCTTTACTTCAACATTAATGAATTAAAGAAGACATTATACCTTTTTAATGCAAGAATGTTTATTGTTGATAAACAAATAAAAATATCATTCTCAGTTTTATATTAAGCTAAATTTATTTTTAATTTCAATTTTTTATCTAAATACACAAAAAATGTATTTTAACTGCGAAAATCCAATTACAACAAATACATTATTTGAAATACTGTAAATTTATATTTTAAGTACAATATTGAATTATATGTTTTAAAAAGTACTTTAAGTAACATTATTAAAAAGGGCACACACGCCAAGTACGATCGCACGCCTGAAATATTGGCCATATTGAATGGAAAACGTTTTTTTCTATAATTATTACAGTTTAGTACATTTAAAAAAAATCATACTTTATTAATTTAATAAATGATATTAAATTTAATGAAAACAGTATGATTTCACGTTAATAAAAGTATGTACCAAGTAAATAAACCGCGAAAACCATCGTCTCATAATAGCAGCGTTGAGCTTGTTTGATGATCATATTATATTGAGTTGATAATATAAGCAAAATCATTAAACATTTTAATTTCAAAATTACTCAAATATAGTCTAATAAAGAAAATTGGTCGTTTCGATGAATATTTCTCAAATTAGAAATTAAATGTTAATATCAAACGAAATTTACCAAACTTTTAATAAAAACGGTTCGGAGGTTTGCCACAAAGTCGGAAGGTTCAGGAGCTGATTGGCAGTGGAGATAAAACAGCATGAGTCCGCAACACCACGGGATACATTTTTATGTATCCAAGGTGGCTAATAAACATACCAAGTTTCTGGCTAATATTTTAGTGTTTTCATAATATCTAGCTGAAAACAATTCATAGCGAGCACTCTGATCGCCTCTTTGAACGTTGTGAATACAACATACCGGTATATGCCGTCAAAAATATTATATCCATAACACAATATTATAAAAGTAAACCCCAATTGCACGGGGATTTTTTTGTTTTATCACCCAGCCGATGGAGACGGCGTTATCGGGCCGGACTCCGCGGCGGTCTCTGGCCGCGCTCGTGCTGCCAATGCTGCTGGCGTTGTCGGGTCCCCTGCCCGGCGAAGGCGGTAGCGTGTACATACCCGGCTACGACAACCAGACCTTGGGTTTGGATTTTTACCCCGTTAACTCGCAAAACTTAGTGGTGGACGACATGCGGAACGGCCCGGGCCGGACACCGTTCATCACGACCATCAACAGCTTCTCCGACTTCTTTTCTTATCCGTTCTTCGCGGGCGGAGCGCACTTCATCGGCATCGACGACACCGGCAGCGGCATGACCATACGCGGGACAAACGCGTCGGACATCAACGCCGAGATAAACCGGATCATGACCGAGCTGCCAGAGTCTGTCAGGACGATCACTTTTTACCACAGGAAGGACGCAAACAACTTCCCGGAACGCAACATATTCACCGGTCGGTTCAACCGCACTCATCCGCAACCGCACCAGAATTTCTACAGAGCGTTTTGACCCGCTTGAGAACACTCTGCTGCGGTCACGTATAAACGGAGCCGAGTCCTCGGGAAATGCCACCCCATTTTAATAGTTTTAATAAATACATTTCGATATACGCCTTTTTTATGAGTGGGTATTAAATACACGGTGCAACAGTCCGTTAAGTATGTGGATCAGCCCTTTTACAAGAAAGCGAAGCAATCGCGCAACGGATGTGCCGAGTAGAATATACAATTTTATGACGATTCGGTTGAAAGAAACAACAAGTGTTGTGCAAAAGAATTAATGAAATATACCGGTCGTTTAGAGAACCGTGTGCTCGAAAGCGAGAGAGGGCAAATGGTCGAGAGGTAAATCTGATAGCAAGACAAACATTGAGTGACGTATATCAGTAAGTCAGAGGTTTTGGGTAAACCGTACGACGTTCTGTGAAAAGTAGGACTACAACGTAAATAGAATTGAGGAACACGAAAAGAGACTAATTTTAATAAATCTGGACACGAGATTTGGCCATTTAAAGAAATATCAATATGTTTTCGCCAAGAGAAAAGGGAATCTATATTTTAATTATTTTTAACATCACGTTGATTCATTCTCACATAGCAGCCTGGAAGTTTAATGTTTAATAAAAAATAAACAATTACTACAGATTTTTGAGGAAATGTTATGTTATAGTCTTACTCTAGGTCTGAGTTCAGTCTAATATTCAAACTCTTATTATCTCATACAGTGTATCATCAGTATTTACTGACAGAGAATAGACATTACTCATTACTATTAGTCTATACTGGAGACGTAGCTATAAAAATGACAAATATCAGTTGACAGTATTTAGTTTTCACGGCTTCGACTTTGGTCGTGTATTTACAAATACACACCGGTGTAACTGTGGTTGCCTATTTCCAACGCCGCTGTTTACTCACAAAGAAATGTTTGCCGAATTTTGATATTATATTAGGCATGTTCACAAGATTAATAATTATGCGTCTCGATTCAATTTCATTTTTTTTTAGCTTTGCTTTTAAAAATTAAATTTACTTATTTCAACGAGTAAAAACCCAATAAAGTATACATGTAATTGGTATTGCCATATTTTGATACGGTATGCAAAGATGCTTACTGAAAAAAAGTACGGTAATATACAAAGAAGTAATTAACACGCTTTACAAATTAAAACAGATTAGAAAGCTTAGGTAAAAAAATAGGTCATTAAATAGTTAGATGGGGTATGAAGTACATAATTAGTACAGTTCACTGTCGAATGATACGAAAAGTGGCATTAGACCACTTAGTCTGTAGTATGTATGTGGTGAAGCGTTTAGTTTATGTAAAAATTCAGAACCATCGACATTATTTTTAAGTGTATAATTTAAAAGATTAAAGTCAAATTAATTCTTCGATTTTCAACGGAGTCAAGATTTAAAGAAGCAAAGAAATCGTAAGTATTCATGCTGGACACTTTTCAATAATCTTTTTTGACCTTGTAAAAAACAATAAAACTAGGTATGTATAATTGACGTTGTATTACACACAGACGGGTATTATCATGTAGTTATTAAAAATTATTTTGTTTTTTTTTCATATCACCGACGATTGTTGCTGCTTTTGCTAGTCGTTTACAGGCCTTGGGGTCGAACCATCTTAAAATATTACAAATATAACGTAACACGTGTGGCGTTTCTGCCGTGCTTTGGCTATAAAACAATGTTCTGAGTGATCGTCAACCCTCGTGTCGCGTGTATTGGATCACAATAATGTTCAACTGCACTCCATTGTTGCCGTTAACGGGTTTTGCGTTCACAAAGACACACTCGACCGAAACGGCATAATGGTGCTCGAACAGGCGCACTCGAGACATGACGTGCATTGGCGACAAAGAAGCAAAACCCGTGTCGACTTAAGGAGGGGTGGGGGAAAGTGTTAAAATTCATTCAAAACCGCCAGCATAGCCGGTATAGGTGTACGACAAAGGACTAATGCAAAACGCATTAAAAGTAGAGTAAAGTAAAAGAGAAAAAACCAAGTATCTTACTCCAATCCAAAAATCACAGCCGAAGAGCGCCGCCAAAAGGTGAGAAGAAGTCTTATTCCAAGAGGACCGGAAAGGGTATTTGTTTAGAGAGCGCTACTACCCTCTGTATAGTGAAAACCCATGGTTTGCGCCATTGAATCCTTCACAGGTCGGGGTAGTACCTAAATTCACAAAGTTTACACAAAAAAAAAATAGAGAAGAGCATGGTCTATGTTTTAAGTATGGCAACGTTTTGATAGAAAAAAAAGTATGATTTTTAAATAATTAAAAATTAGTAGATTGAGTTATCGAAAAATTAAAAAATGCATAAACGCCATTGAGATAATTTGATGGTTGTACTGTTTTTCCCAGGACACTTTGGATTGGTTTTTCGCAAAACTGTTTTTGATTATAATTGAATAGTAATAATTTTCCTATAGAAATTACTGCGAGTCTGACAAAAAAAAAAAGACCACCAATAACGAATTTTATTACCGTATTAATATGTATACACTATAGTTCAAGCTCTAAATTGAGAATTGGCAAACAAATATCTATACTTTAGTAAATAGGGATTACCACGTCCTCTTAACAACAATAGTTTGCATTTCGAAAATCCAATATTATCTTGTTTATAATAATATTATTATGAGTTATTACGGCTTAACAACTACTATTGACGGGGAAAAAATATTTTTTTAGTCGTATATAAAAGAAACATTATCTCCTGCACACCAAAGTCAATTAGATTAAATTATTCTTTTAACCGTAGTAAACTAATCGACGTTTGATGTGTTTACTATTAGATTATACGTGTACATGACGTACTCAAGGACACTACACAAATGTTTCGAAATTCATGATGTACATACTGTATAAACAATATTATAAATATTTTTCGAATTCTTTAGGGAATAAATCTGGGTTTTATTAAGTAGCAAAAATAGCCAAAGTTTGATCAAAGAAAAGTCATGATTTCCAACCTTTTTTACCGGGTTAATTTACCTATATTAGCTTTAGTATACAATTTTCGTACTACAGCAAGCGTTGCATAACTACAAAGTAAAAATGTATTAAGAGTTTATTGGTCATTACTAAGTTTTCTTGACAAATTATTTTCTTAAAAAATAAAAACAATTGTTTTTTCAATACTAAAACATAATCTTTTTTTTATGTCAAATATAGATAAAAATTAGGTTTTTAACAAAACCCGGTAGAGAGATCAACAAACTCGTATATTTTACACATTAAAAATTGAGACTGTTCCAAGTATAGTCGAAATGTTTTAGCTTTTTTAGAATTTCAAGTTAGCCAAGTGTAAATTATCATATAAAAATTGTATTACCTTTACCATTTTCGAATAAGATAATATTAAATTGTTCAAGGAAAAAACATAAAGAAATATTTGTCCTTTCATGTGTGTCTTAGCAATGTGTGTGTGTGTATATTTTTTTTACGATGGAATCTTAAGCTTGTGAATTAAACTAACTGGTGGCCGCATGCACGAGCATACCTTAAAACAGTGACACAAACAACCACTATATGACTATTTGGATAATCTAAAAACGGTAGACAACCCTGGCATTTATCCAGTGCGAGGCGACGGCTTGCTGATGGAGTCATGGTTAAGTTATATATACATTTTTTTAATATAATATATGAATTACACTAGTGGGCTTAGCAAGTCGTACGCCGACCACCTTTGCAAGTAAATGCTTTGGCGAACCGATAAGAGTTTCAAATGCCGATTACGGAGAACACAAAAAATTAAGTAGGCCGGGTTGCTTAGTTCCAATTATATTTTTATTATTCACAATTGGACTTCCTTGTGTCATAATTTGTTGTCGCCCCGGAGTTACCGTGTACAACTGCCAAACCGCCTACAACAACAGTGCCGGCATGGTCCTTAAGTGTTAGCACCGAGGCAGTTTATTTTTATTATGACAATAATATTATTAAATGAGATCACAACGTGGTCGGTTGATGACCGCGACGTATCCTATTTCAATCATATGGTCGTAGTGTATCTGAGAAAACGATGGACTTTTAATGGGACTTCTGTTTTGTTTACAATTCAGTTATACGTTTTACACGGTAATTTTGACGTTAAGAGATCTACTCATATTTAAAACAAAATGAAACACCCAAAGTGTCAAACACTCTTGAACTTGGTTTTTGTAATTACTAATGACATTAGACGCTCAAAAAATTCTTCTCTTCGAGTCTATGATTTTTACGCTAAGTCGATATTGATACCTAAGTTAACCTTACCTCTGGTACCATAGTCTATTCGTTAAGTTCAACGAACTGAGCTGTTGGCAACTACTGTTGTCCAAATGTGTTATTCGTCGATGAGCACCATCGCACAATTACGGATTGAAAGTAAAATGTGAACATAACAAATATACTCGAGTTAACGAAAACTTAACAACTGTATAATAATGGTATCATACACTGTTTTTAGATATTATATTACGTTATATTTATTAGAATAATAATAATATGTATATATATATATATATATATAATTAATGTCAATAAAACAATATTGACGTTTGGTCGTTTTATTGTTAGTGACAATAAGTGCAGCTAATGTGGCACTTGCGTCCCAGTGGTATGCCACACTTGCATCCCGCTGACGTATCGCCTTTACCCTGAAAACAAGTAGAAACCTATTAAAAGACAAGTTATTACTTAGGGAAATACGCTTAATCGAATAAACTTGTAGGCAGTAGCATTAGTCCTACGAGCAGTCTTACATTGGGTCCCCATCTGGGTCCTTTGGTTGCCCAACAGATCTCGGTAGAGCACACGGCGCACTTGATCCAGTCACATCCTTGTTGCTTGGAGAGAACGGTGGCGCATCCCGGACATTCCATGGCTTCACCGCGCTCGATAAGGTTCTGGAATTCATAAAGCAACCGGGCACGATGCGTTCAGTCTTAAATTCGGATTTTAAAGTACAATTATTGGTTGACCACAAGATTAATTGCAGTGTGGGTTACAATTACAACTAATATAATATGACAATTCCCGTAAAAATCTATGGCAACATAAAAATCTCAAAGTCCAACAAGGTGGAGAAGACGGTAATGATTGATTATTAAAAATTGAGAAGCAATCCCATTAGACATTTTTTTACTTTAGACTCGACTAGTTTGGACTTTTTAAAAGTTTATTATTTTCATTCGTTATTCTGTAGAAATTGAATGAAATCCATTATTGCCAGTTTCGATTTACACTGTAATTTTATCAGAGCTCTACTGTGCTCACATCCTAAGTCGGTGGTGTCTGATTAAGACGACATCTTGGTAAAAAAGAAAAATGCCAACTGGAACTCACTTCGACCACAGCGGCTGCGTCCGATGCCGTTTCGCCGCTGACTGCCTCAAGTTTATTGGTTTTTCTTATCAACCTCTCGCATATTCTTCCCGGTTCGTGGATCTCCTGCAAACGCCACCGAAACGATCAGTAAACCATTGTAAAGCACTCTCGACCACGCCGTACACTCACCCCACACCTGACGCATGTAACGGTCCCGCAAACCGGACACTTAAATTCGAAGACGTAGGTCTTGTTGTCGATCAAACACCAACCGGGACAATCGGGACGCCGGCACTGGAACGACCCGCCTTTGGCCAACAGCTGTCTCGCTCGGTTTACCGACCTCTGCAAGTACTGCTCGTACTCTTCGTCGGCGCCCAATATCTGTGTGTGTGTGCGGTAAAACATACAACTTGTGATAAATGGAAATTCGCAAACAGATCCATCGTTGTGCAGACTTACCCTTTTGATTTCGCGGTGCTGCAGCACACCGGTACACGAATACTGCGGATCGATGTAGGGACATTTCACCTGTTCGCCCTTAGAATGTTTAATGGTCATCTGCAGACAAGGTCTAAGACCAATAGACACGAAAGCGTTAGCGAAAAAATCATGGCTTGTTTGTTGAACTAGACAGGAATACGCGCCGGAAGATAGCAGACCCAGAACCCAGAGAGTCGAACGAAAAGCAAATTATTCAGATTTAACGGAGATCCTAAGTGGATTAACGTGGTTAGGTCCAGAGCTTTAATAGTTGGGTTAGACCCCTTTAGTCTTTAATGTCAGACAAAGCAAAATCGACTGACACAAATTTGTAGAGACAGGGTGTGGTTGCGGACTTCACGTGTAGTGGACAAAAGCGATAGGATCCAATAATTGTGGACTATATATTTTCAATTCAACGACGATCTTTTGTGTCAGTCCTAAGATATGACGTTGGACTTACCTGCAAAATATGTGCAGGCAATCGCGCAACACGATACCGCCGTCGTTGTAGGAGCAAAGGCACACTGCACACTCGAAAGGACGGTCATAGGTTACTAGGTCACTGCGGTTTTCCATGGCGATCAGTTGTTGGTAACAGCCTTTTTTGTCGTCCGTCTGCAGCACTGGACCTGCAGACACAACCAAACCGCATCGTGTCGTATTATATAATAAAAACATATTATATTTTTCCGACACGTGTTGTGTACTTATGAAAACGGAAAACCAACGATAAAGACAGAGGGTTTATCCTAACCTACAATCAACCCGGGTACTGGAGGATCCTAGATCCATAGGCGTGGCTAGAGGGGGATTTGCAAACTTTAAGTAGAAGACTTAATTAAGCAAGTATAACTGAATTTGGTTAAAACCCTTATCCTAGGGTAATGCAATGGATATATCTAGGTCCTAGACCCATAAATACGTATGTATATCATGAGAATCGGATCCTGGGACGAGGGTAAACTGTATATTTGTAAATAAAATGTAGTTGTACTTTCGTAGTGTACAACAAGCTATGTGTAAGGAGACAAGCTTTATATTGAAAACCTAATGAAAATGATTCGTACAAGCCTTCTTCTGTTAGGTTAACAAAAGTGTTTGGATTATGGAATGTCAGATGTTGCTTACCTCTGTTGTCATTGGTCTTAGGCAGAGTTTTGGGCTTGTATACCTTACGTCCTGTGGTCTGAGTGCCGAACGACATTTTGGTGATGGTGGTCTCGATTTTTGGATCAGCATTTTTTTTGTGGCCATCGATTGAGTCTGGTGTGTCTTCGTCACGCAGTGGCCGCAGCCGCTCGAAGAACTCCAACCGCTTCTCCCGCAGTTGATTGGCCGCCCCGTCGGAAGTCTTATGCGGCAGTATTATCGCGCTGACGGGCCGGGTGCGTCCAGTCGGTTGTCTAGCGACAACGGAAAACGAGGCGGACAGCCTGCGCGCGGCTTCGGTGGACTCGCTCAGGTTCTTGCAGATCTCGGCAGCCCGTCTGTCCAGCTCGGTTATGTTGGTCACGGCCATTTCGGTGTACACCGCCGACGTAGGTCGTAAGTACTTGGCCGGCGTCGCCTTCTCCACCAAACACTTCTCGATTTTGTCCACCCGTCGTCTCAGCCTGTCTTTTTCGTCCGGCGCTATACCACCTGATTTGGACGCGACTTGCGGCTTCGGCCCGATGACAGTGACCACGACTGATGGCTTCGGTACGACCACGGTGGTCATGACGGGAGGCTGCGGAGCGGGCCCTTTGCGGTGTCTACGCTGTCTACCGCGGTTGGGTGGTATAACCGCTGTCGGGTTTGGCTGTGGCTGTGCGATCGCTTGTAGTAAAGGTGGTGGCGGTGGGGCTTTGTATTTTTTCGACCTAGTCCTTGTACCAGTGGTAACGGCAGTGACGGTAACGGCCGACGGTGTCGGAATGGTTCGCTCAACAGCGTCGGACGTAGCGGTACAGGGTTCTTTTTTGGACGCCGCCTTGCTGTGATGTTTATGTCGTCTGGCCGGCAATGTGGCCGCGGTCGTTGCGGCGTCAATGTACTCGACCGACTCGGCGTCATCCCGGTCGACGTTGGCCACTTGGCCGTTGCCGTCGGTGGCTCCGAAGTAGGCGAAACTGTACACGGTGGTGGTGCTGCCGGACCAGCGAGCGCCGCGCCGACACCACGCGTTCCCGGCGGCCGACGGCCACGGTCTGCGGTCGAACGCCGCCGCGGTGCCGTAGTCGGGTTTGTGCTCGGCCGCGTACGCTTGTCGGATCAGCTGCAGGTTGTCTCGGAACCAGGCGGAATCTTCGGCGGCCGCGTCCCGGGCGGCGGCACCGCGCCGGAACAACCTGGCGAACAGCGCGGTCGCGGAGAACAGTTTCCTGGTGCGTCGGCCGCGTTCGGTCCGTCCGGCCGCCGTGGACGTCATGTGCGTCGTCGGCAGTCGCGATCAGCACTTGCGGTTGTCGGGACAGGTCCGAGCTCGACGGATCACTGCGGCCGTGCCGGTACTGTTCGTTACGGGACAAGCGCGCACCGTCGTTTACACATTGGCCCGCGCCGCGTTGGCACTGGCCGCCATCGTCTATTTTTGGTCGCCGCCGTAAGAAAAAACAAATATTACAGGAAAAACGTCATCCGCGGACGCAATTATCGGTGTCACGTGCCGGCCAAGCGGTCGTCGCTGAACTAACAGCCGATGACGTCATAGAAACTGCCAAAATGATTTTTAAACGTTTGTTTGACTTTTCGATAAAAAACAATATTATGATTGACTGCTTCTTCCGTCGCGTGTCATATAAAACACATATTGCCCTATGCTTGGCTAAAACCATATGTTTATAATGTGTACAGTATCTCAAGCATGTCGTTAAAGTTTTATAAACCCCTTGAACCTATGAGCCCCTGGAACAGGGATTTTCACAAACTTAATTTTCAAAGATCTAAGTAGATATAGAATGATTTTTTAAAAACTCTACTTTCGAAAAGACTCATTGACACTTAAATTGTGTGCACTGAAGTATATAAAAACATATTTAAATGCTATGCACAGGTAAACTATACATTTGTCATTATTAGTTAAATAAAATGTTTAAATACTTTTGAGTAAGACAGACTTCCACCCCCAATTCTAATATGCTCTGACTTCACTGTACTGTCTTTTTATTAAAAATGTTAATTGTCTTACGAGGTATTTGTTATTAGTGTTTGTTATTTCTCCATATAAATCTTACATATTATAATCATATCAGAGTATTAACATGTTTAATATAGATTAAATGTACTAAAATCATGGTTTTTATTTAATTTATACTGTATACATTTTTTACAGTTGAACATCATTCGAAACAAAGTGTACTTAAAGTTGATAAAAAAAATATGCCTGGCATTAAAATATGTTTACAGTGTAACGTGACCAGTTACTGATAGATATTATTAATAATTATCGTGCGACATAAAAATATTATTTCCTACTTCTGTTTTTCTTTTGAGGTCACGGACAAAACCCATTTGATAAAACGCATCATGTGCTCAAACGTATTAAACAAGTACTATTAAAAATATTCACCGCTAAGTCTTGCCAAAAATTATAAAAATATTTATAATGGACTTTTTTTTTTTAGTAGCTTATTGACATGTCCGACCCACCATTTTATTAGAAAGAATAAATGTTTCTGTTCAATTACCTAATAAGAGGTACTGTTCAGAAAAACATACTATTGAACCATTTGTGTTATTAATATTTAATTGAAACATATATGTTAATAATATTAAAAATATCATGACAATAATTATAAAACATCATAATTTTTCAAGTATATTAGTATTATTAGTGCTATAATGTGGGATGTGTTAGGTAAAAATAGAAGGATTTTTCAATTTATTGAATAACAATATACTATATAGTCCCCGAATGGCTGTTTTTCATTGCATAATGATAATACCTAAAGGTAAATCATTAGAGTATTAGCGCATAATATTATAAAAAGCAAAGTAGTTATTGTACAAACCTTTTTAAAATATGTTTGGACGAAAATATATAGGGAATATAATAGTGTCATTCTTGGAAGAAGTTAAATCATTGTCCCAAAAAAATTAGTATTATGTAATCTAATGGTTATTAAAATTCAATAATAATTATTATATAACAGATAGGTATTGGTTGAAAACTTTACGCAAGAGTTAAAAAAAAAACGAGCATATGAAAGTATACATATTCCTACTATAAATGTATTTTTATAATGTTCTACCATAGTCCATAATTGAATAATATTTACTGAGCTTCGAATCAAAGCCAAAATGCACAACAAACTAAAAATAGGGACAAAATCTACAAGGTGTAGATACTGAAGGCAACTGAATAACGTAAATAATAAACAATTTTATATTGTACAACGATAAGCCGGCATAATTTTATAAAATAATTTAACTTTTAAAATGTCAAAAGCAAAACAGTTTAAAAAAAAATTTGTTTTTAAAAATATTAACAGGTTTTTATTTCTTAAAATGTTTAAAACATACACTTGGTACGTGTTTTTACGCTAAAATGCATGTGTGATATATTGCGCATATATACTTGTGGCACAACATAGGATTTATTTAGTTTTAGTTAAAAATCATAAGTTAACAACAACAAGTTGATGACCGAATTCGGGGTTGGATATCTGTCCGGCGATCGTTCTACACAAGCCATACATCATATTTTCTTATATTTTGTCTTTTCTGGTTCTTTTGGTCTTTTTCGGCTATTTTAGATCAGTAGATTAGCAGGGCTGAAAAAAAAAGTTAAGGATATAAGACAAAGTGGCTTGTACGATAGAGAAAATTGTACGGTTATATTAAAACAAATAGCTAAAGCGAATATAGAAGACAAGTTCGAGCATTGTGGATCACACCCGGGAAAATTTTTGGGGAAACCTCTTTAGCAGAAATTCATTTGGTGGCTAAAATCCCATTAAACCATTACCAAACCACATTCTTGTAGAACTTAAGTTGGAACTCTGTCGTGACATAAATTACTGTTTCATGTACTTATCAAAGCCATCGTTTTTTTTGTACAAAACATTCTACATACTTAAAACTCTCAACCTCGCTCACTATGTCATCAATGTGACTATAAAAAAAATCTCCAGGCAGCAGTTCGGACAGTAATTATACACTATAAGCTCTAAATTAAGATTTTGCGAAAAATTGCCAATATTTTTATTTTTTAATATATTAAAATAGGTGTGTCTTCTTAAAGTGAATGCAAAATTGTATAAAACTAGTCAGGCCAGTATATGATAAAAATGGAAAGCTGAAGTAACTGAAATGATAGTGGTTGGATAAAATGAGTGACAATAGGATTGATAAGGTTTGGACAAGCTGAAAGATGGGAAGGAAATAAAATGGGCAACAGTAGAATGATAATAGTTTTTGGATCTGGTGTAGTTTTTTTGTGGTACATTTTTGGGTTGAGGGTTTGGGGCCGTTGTAAGCAGGATTCGCTTACCGGTGCGCGATTTTTAGATTTGTTAAGTCGATGTCTGTGCAGTTTTCGTCGAGTCGAGGGCGTTTTCGAGTGAACTTTGGTTTGGGAATTCGTTTCATCAACTTGTGTTGCTCTTCTACCGCAACCACCGCACCGACCACAAGGAGACCACCAACAGGAACCCCAGGACCAACCGGACCCCGGCAGCCGGCAGTAAGGTCGACCGGCCTTTGGACTGACATGTCCGACCGTTGGGCACCATCGAGTCCATTTCCTTGCGGTAAATCTCCAGCTCGTAGTAATGGTCTGTGACTTCCCAGGACGGTGACACCGTCTTTCGGCGCGTCAACGTGCTGGAGCACTGGGACGTGCTGGACAAGTCCATTTGGGTGTTCAAGTACAACGTGTTGAACACCCAATTCCTCAGTTCGCCGGTTATTATGGTGAACTTGTAGTACGTATTATTCCTGGTGCACGGAAGCAACCTTGTCTTTTCTTTAGCCGGGTTGAAACATACCCGCGTGCAAAACGGGTTGTCCACTTCATAAATCCAAGTCAGCAAGCCGAACACGGAACAACAAAATTTGGTTTTGCTCACTGTAAACGAACCGGAGGAAACACATACAAAACAAAAGCCACGGTACAGTGGGGTCGAGGGCTGGACGATATTTCACGCAAGACAAACTCCAATTTTGCCGTCTTTTCAAACGATCAATTTATACGAGTATACATATTTCCAATATTTTATAAAAAATATTTCAAGTTCAAACCAATGTAACGCTATTTATTAAGGGGACTGACTAGATTGAAATTATCGGTGTTTTCTTTGTGCATAGGGTCGAGGTCGGGGAACGTGTTAAAAATACGCCTCTGCCCTCGTATAGTTACCGAATTCCAATACCTGGCTCACACTGGTAGAGCGGGCCGCCAATGTCCTCTTTGCAAAGATACTTACTTTCGTCTTCAAATGATCTAGCGGGTGTGCAGATGAATTGTGTCCAATCCGTATCGTTTTGTTGACCTTTAGCACTGTAACAACGACCGTTTAAGTCAACGCGATTGTTATATATGTGTATATATATATATATAACAAACAGTACTTGGACCGCCATGTATACGGCGGTCCAAGTACTGTTTTTGAAATCGATTTTTATCACTAAAAATATTCTAAAAAACTTCCTACGGACCATCTATCAGTATAACAGATAAAATTATTTTCAGTAGATAGCATTTTCGCGCGCTCACGATTCGTACGTCAATAGTAGTTTTTGTAGGTTGTACCATACTATTATTATATTGATTACAACAATAATAATAGTAACATGCCTAACCCTTCTATGGGTACCGGACAGCCGTATCGAGTTACTGAGTATTCCGTCAAAATAACATCGAAAAAATTGTCATTCGGTTTGTATCCGTATCCGTTAAATTTCAATTTAAAGAATTCCTTCTCCGTGGGCTGCAGCTTCCTCTCGTCTAAGAACGCCGCCATGGTGTGCCCTTCCAATTCAAATTCCGGTTCGACCATTAAAATGGCCAGGTTGTTGGTCGTGTACGATATGTTCCAATGAGGGTGAACGAATTGCTTCGTGACGTTTGCTCTTTGCAACACCCGCAGATCTCTGACACGGTTGAATTCTGATCGCGGCTCCAGAATTCTCGCCTGTCTTAAAGCGAACAAGTCGTTAGCGGTTAATATCATAAATACGACTTTGTTTTCCCTAATTTTCCACACGCCGTTGTCGTTTAGACGGCGGTGGGCGGTTTAAAGAATAATATATTGTCGTCTTGCTACTAATTTCTACCTTACTGGCCCCCTAGACGGTTCTCGGTCCCGATGACTTACCGTGATCGCGAACGACGGTATGTTCGTGGGCAGTCGACCGGTTACTTCACCTGTACAAACGGCCGCTGTCAGTATAAAATTGGGCTTCAACACCAAACCCGTGCACGTTATTACCGGAGATCTCTCGTCACCACCGCGGACGGCCGTCACGTGAACAACCTTTATATCAGGAGCGCAGATGACCGGAGGAGTTGGCGAAGGCCGTAGGGTGGTCGTGCCCAAGCCTACGCCCACAGCCCATTTATTCCATCCGTCGGTTGCCGTAATTAAAAAGTTTAAGCCGACAACAATACACGGCAATAACGCTAGCATGGGACAAAAATTCAGCGCATCACTTTTTTTTGGTTTTTGTTTTATGCAGATGATATTTTAAAACTTTTATTTAAACGATTACAGTTATGACAATTTATATAAAAAAAAAAAACATTATGGCGTTAGGATGAAATACGACGTTGCCCGAGGTTACCCCGTGTAAATGGTTACAGACGGCAACCAAACATGCGTCGTTGATATCTATGTTATACTATGGTCGGTATAATCACAGCCATATAATTAATGTATTATGATTCGTGTGGCAGTTAGTATTTACATTACTCGGCCAAACGTCATTACAGCTCACGACTGATGTTTTTTGGTATGAAATACATAGCATTGTTTTTTTTTTTTGACAAACATGATGTTTTGCTATTTTAGTGATGTACTGTTATACGTATTATTTTCAACACTTTACGTGTATCTATCTAAATATGTAATTATCAGTTATCCATGCTGAATCCGCACTGACCAGGGTGTTGGCAGTTATTTACTGTTTTATCGAAAATTCATTTTAAAGACAAAACGATTTATGAAAATTCTGAATTTTATTAACTTACCTACCAAATTATAGTACAATAAAACTGGATAGCTTGCGACTCTGTGGATAAGTAATAGAAAACACGTTAAACACACCTCGAACTACCATCAGTACCTTTAATTACCTAGATTTTTTATTTAAATTAAGAAAGTTGTTTTAAAACATGTCTCAAATTTTATGAAATTATGTATGTAAACAAAATGTGTTGATATATAAAATTATTATGCGGTTTTTGAAATTTATATACAGAACAATTGAAATATAAATTTGATTAGATTTGATATGGAATTTTCATACTTTTCATTTATAATACTCATAGTTATTATAATAATAAATATTATACAAAAACTAAAAAATTAGTAATATTACTTTTACTGAGACGATTTAAACAAAAACTTGCCATATTTTGTGAAATTTTTAACCTCACCGGATTTAATCATATGAAAAGACATATTTTGTGTTTTTTTTTAACTTTATTTTGAGAGCATTAGTATCTTATGATTTATAATGTAATTCCTGGTGAAACGATCATAATATTCGATTGGAAACTTAATTTTCTGAGAATCGTTTGAAAATTAAATGTTGTGTAAAATGGTTGATACAAAACAAAATACCATACTATGGACTAACCCGTTGCTTATAATCACACAGTGTTTGGGGGCATAAAAATGTTCAATTAAAACTGTTCGTTTAGGCACCGGTCGTCCGGTTGGTTATAAAAACATGGAAGAGGTTGTACTTGAGTAGCCACTTTATTTGCCGGTGGTTGACACACATTGAAAGGAAATTTCAGAGCATGGCTACGACCCTAGTTAGGCATTAATGCTCTCTGGTCGTTTAGCAAACGCTCCTGACCAGTCTACTTGAGAATAACCAGCACGGAGCTTATCTGCACGTCTACTAGTTACTATTATGTTAAATGAAGCTTTTTTGTTAATACTAATGTCTTTGGGTGTGCCTGTGAGAGTTTGTAAGGCAATACTTAAGTAATCATTATTAAGAGGTCGAGCAGTATTTTTTGGTTTTTAACTGATTTGCTAATTAATAATATCAGCTAATAGTTAATCTGATAAGGATGATAATGTTGAATATTGATAGTTTAATGTTTTAATATGTTACTTAAGACTGAAATTACCTAATATTAATTCAATTTCTGAAGTTTTAAACAGCGTTAATTTTTTATTTGGTTTAGGATTTTCGTTTTTATTATTCATTGCTTGCCGCCGCGCCGGCCAAGTCACCTACTAATAATGCAATCTCGTCGTTATTAGTTTTACCAAGTTCTTTATAGACAATTTCCTGAGTTCTCAAAATATTTCCTTCGACATTCAATTTATGTTTTCTCCTAAAATTATCCATGTAATCTAATACATTTGTTTTTTTCTTTCACCAAACTGCTTTTGTTATTTATTCACTTGAATTATTATATATTTTGTAAAATATGAAATCATATTTAAGATTCTATTTCATTAAATTTCAATCATGACCACTGTCAAGTCGGAAAACTGTTTAAGAACTGTAAATAAAATGTAAAATCGAATTCAAAGATTGTATATTAAATCCGACGAGGAGTAGTACTATAAAATGCCACTTTTAGAGGAATAACAGGATTTATTGAAAATTAAGGTATAATAATAAACTACACAAAAATAATTGTTTAAAAATTCTATTACCTATGATTTCTCTAGTGTCTAACATACATTATAATATTTTAACACTTTTTCCAATATTTACACAAGTTAACTATTACATCATACATAATATATTTCATATGATTATATATATATATATATATATGTATATATTTTATAAATATATAATATATGGAAGTATCCAAAGTACATAATTATACAACGTGTAATTACATTTTTTTTTTTTTTGACAACGCCGTTCATGATTATTTTAATATACATGTAAGTGCTATAATCATGAAAAAATAATACACAAATCCGCAGTTTATTTACAACAAAACGAAAATACCGATAAATATAATAATTATAATAATAATAAAATAAAATGACGACGATAATATTTAATAGTATAATAATAATATTAATAATAATAATAATAATAATAATAATAATAATCATAGTAATAATGATAATAATAATTAATAATGATAATAATTATGATAATATTAAGATTTAAAAAAAAAAAAAAACAGTAAATAAAAATAAATCGCATTTTAAATTATAATAATAATATTATTATTTGGATGTCTGACAAGTGCGTTTTTCCTCTTAACCAGAAAAAAAGAGAGGGAGAGGAGTGATACAACTAAACACATAATACAATGTTTTACTTATTTTTACATGTATATATCTATATCATATATATATATATATATATATATCAATAATAATATATAACTATTTAAAATAGTTTGAGTTCAATTATATAGGTACAACAATAAAAAAAAATCTACGATTATCGACGGTCTACGTTTTTTTTTCATTTGTTTCAAACCGCTGGCCATACTCTGAAACAAAGCAAAAACAAACCATTTAAAATAATTTCAAAAGTTATTATAATAATTTCACACGAGACAATATTATTAGTAATAAACATTTAACACTGATGACAGTATAATTTGCACGCATTTGCACGGGAAACGTATAAACGTCTTATCGCCTAAGAAAGAATCTTAGGAGAAGCCAAATGGTTAACCGAAAAACTCTACGGGTAACAAAAATAATGTAAATATATTATAAAATATGTTAGATTTTAAAATACTATATTAGGTACTATCGATTATATTATGTACTATATGCTGATTCAACAGTAAACCGATTGTTGTAAGAGTAATTATTATTATTATTATTATTAGGTATAACATTGGTCACATGATTGTATTCCATTACAATATTCTAAAAATGGCGGCCAATAATTGAAAATCCATGTGCGTTTTGAAACGGCCTCATTGAACACAATCCAGCCAAGTCATCGTCGAACACTAAACGCTTTGCGTCCATTGATGAATTATTATCCGGTTCCATAGACGATCCAAAATCAGAACCATCGACCAATCGAAACCGTCGATTTACTATATAGTTTTAATGTATTATACTTTTTAGTACAGGTTAAACAATCATTTATACAATCGTGGTAACAATAACCGTACAAAAGTATTTTATGGACATTGAACTTCTCACATCTCCAAAGCCAATAGATCAGGCAGTGCCTGATGACAATGACATCATTTAAAAATGTTGAAAAAATTCATAGTTTAGTGTCTCTGTTCATCTGTATTTAGCTACCCCCTCCCCTAACCATCGAAAAGCTATTGTATAATATTATGACAATGTACTTGAAGTTTAGCGCACTAGTAAATAGGATAATATGCCCCCACTCTTTTGATACGGAACGGCGGATATTGTTAATGGCACTTTTTTTGTATATTTTGTGACGAAAAAAATAACGCTTATTGTTTTAAACACTTATAGGACATACACGTTTTTTATTTTATTATCTAGTTTGATAAAACAAAAATGAAACTATAATATAACGATAGTGTGTCGTCGTCGATGGCGGATCTATTCACGGTGTGTTTGAAGAGTCTTTACATTGTACACGTTTAAAATAAAGGGTTCCTTTACATAGTAGTGGCCCTTTGCCGCCGTTACGGTATTGTCCCATATCCAACGGGTATAGAAAAGATTCTTAAGCAGCACTTGAGTTTACTCGCGCTATTATTGTCGCAAATGTAAAATATAATGTGCAAAAACTCATTAATGTTCTGATCTCGGTATTCCCAATTGCGGGTAAGTATACTTCATTGAAAATGTACATAAAATAAAACAACGCTCGCGAATCTGATCGGATTGTATATTTTCTCAAAATTGTTTTTTTTTTGGTGTAAGTACCACATTGTAACTTTCTACCCTACACCGCAACCGTTCAGAATCGCAGCCGTGCTTTCATTTCAACGTTACAGTTCTCGTCTAATAACTTATGTAGAAACACACATGGTATTATTATACTTATAAACACTTGAGAACGTGACGTCTGAGTCCTGCGGTCTGTGTGTATAATCCCAATATATTAAAGGAGCTGCTCCTGTAAAACCTCGGCCGCGGTCAACGCGATGGCAAACACATTCAGCGGTTTCGTTTGGGTGTTCCGCGGTCCACTCGAAAATATAATATTACAGGTATGTATGTACACAGGGTCTCTACACAACATATAGACATCATAAGTGATCTGTATGGAGAAATAAAAGTTGTTTTTGGATTTTCCTAGCGACGGAGTAGAAATTTTCATAGAATATTAATAATAACAGTCCATTAGATTTTGAAAACGGAAGCAAAGCCAGCTGAAAAGTTTTTTATTGGTCTTCTCTATTGGTTTTTTTTTGGTCATTGTAAACTACAATAAATGGTAGTTATATTATAGGTATAGCTAAATTTTGCTAAATTACACTCATACGTTTTGCCGAGTTGATCGTCAAAAACACAACTAATCATAATCGCCTGTTAAAACGGCACAAACGTTTGCCCCATTGCCGGTTAGGTATTTAACATTCTGTGATCCTTCCAAGTGATTATTAGCCTTCTGTGCGTATCGTGTTTGAAAGGAGTCCCAGAGGTGTCTAATATGCAGTCGGGGTTGAACGATAGCCACAGCACTGTTAAAATGTATTAGTCAATGTCTGCCGTATGTGTGTGTGGTGTGTGTGTGTGTGTGACCAACTCACCGTGACCTTTGGCGGTTGTGTTTATAATTTTTTTACCGAGCTATTCAAATTAATGGAACGAACCCGTCGAATATTATCTTCTCTCGTAGGTAGGTTTAGACAAAAAGCAAAACAAAAAACACAAAAAGACATGTCTTTGTGTAATCCAGTAGCCCCAGCCAGCGCACGGCAGAGAGTGTGTATAGGATGCAGGGAAGAATGGGAAGAAAACACAATTATATATTTACAAAACGCTTCGGCTAGCCGGTCGTGGGAAAGCGGCAGTGATAAATTGTTTTTTACCACTTTGTGTGATATTTCCGATTCTTATACCGACCGACGGCGGCCGTGGCCGGACATCCGCGGTGAACGCCGTTCTTCCGCACGGAGACAATCATTAATAATAATAACAACAAACCAAAACGGTAAACAAGAGAAAAAGTACAGCAAAACCATGGCCAAACGGACGAATTTTAGATTTTCACCAAAAACTGTGTACGACCCAAAAGCCTACAGTTGAAATGCAGAAACAGCACTCAAGTCCTCTGATACATTTTGGATGTTAGCGTGTAATTCAATCAAACTCTTGACTACCTTATCGGAAAGATTTTAAACTGTAATTTTGTTCTCTTGGCAAATTTGCAGTTCACTTTGTATAAAAGCTTACAGCTAAAGTACAACTTATAAGCCCAACAATGTTTGGCGCGAGTGACAGATTTTGTAAACAAATATGTTCAACGATATTATCTACATTTTTCTTCTATATTTTCTTTTCAATTTTCTTTTTACTGTGTTTATAACTAAGCAGATTTCATCCGTTCTTGGTTTAATTAATTACTAAATTCACAGTGAATGTGACCTACGGTGGTACCCAAGTCCTAACCTTAATAACACCCAATCATTTTTCAGTGATTTCCTTAGGGAAAAACGCACACGCGCATTGATGTTACGCAGGTTTTTATAATATTCAATTTTATAATAATATCATATCTAGGTTAAGATTAACATACCGATCGGGTGGTAGCCATTAATTAAAACGAATATTCGAACGTCGGTCGGTATGGGAACTTATACTCGGTTTTTCGTTAAAAACAAAATAATTATAATAATAATAATATGTATGTAACATGCTAACAACAGCAATCATTATTTTTATTTACGTTTTTAGAAAGTAAAACTCAAAACCAACAAAATCCTTGAAGACATGTATGACTGTGGACATAATATTATATTGTAAAATGATAATATTATATTATACCCTCAATGTTTTTTTGATTGACCACTTTCACTATGTGTGTCATGCCGAAATAGGCCGAGGGCTACCAATTTGCATAACGTCTTATCCCCTTGTAGTACAGACTCTACTGTACAGTGTAGACTTCCAGACTCAGTAGAAAACCATCGGCTTACAAGTGAAACGAATCGAGTAATTTTCAGGTGTTTAGCTGTTTTTTTTTTTTTGACCTCGATGTTGTCATTTAGAATATACACATTCAGCTGGTGCACTACCTTGCTCCTGTTTGCTTTTTAAGACACGTTGACAGACCAAAATAACATCAAAAACTCTTTTCCCTAAGAAAGGTGGACATTTTTTCTTTATTTTGTTTTTTTCGAACGTTGTTTTATATCTACTGGTTTGGTGTACAAATTGTAAGCGAATAGTAAATTTCTGTTTAATTAGACAAAAAATTAACACAAAACCGCAACAGTATTTGCTATTTACAAGCATACTGTGAAGCTTGTCGAGTTTATAATTGCTTATGTGTGCAGAAAAAATAAATTACATAAAACATATTTTTCATAGACGTTCCCAACGTTTATTTTCTAATAATGTTTTATAGTAATATTAGTAAACAAATATTTGTACAACATACAAATATATAATTCATATATAATATATTAAAACAGCTTTCTTGAATAAAAATTAGAAATGTTTGTTCTTTGAAGACAACAAGAATTATTGTAATTTATTATACTACATTACAATACCCAAGTCTCGGCGAGCTATTATATATAATATAATTAACTTTAATAAATACAAAAAAACTAACATTACAATCTTATTTTACATATAGACTTAACAATAACAATAACTGTTATCGTTTCACAGTACACAGTTGTGTAATACAAATTGCACAATTAAATTTATCCGTTGTATTTTATAATTATTTTTTATAAATAAATAAAGATCTACAAAAATATATAATATACTTATGTATATTATCATTGTTCATTTATCATATTCATACAAACAATTAGATGTTGTTTAACCATATAATACTGAATACAGCAACTTTTGTTTAATGTTTATTATTGATAAAATTGTTTTATGAAAATTATATTTAATTTTATCTAAAATCGATTAATTGTCTGATATTTGTATGCTAATAATATTTTGTTTATTTACATAGGATGTTTCAGTGTGTTCCCTGATTGAATAATAATAATATGGAGTACATAGACAATTAATGTAAGACAATATGTCCCCTCCCACTCTATTTTGACTTTGTTGGGTCAGTGTAAGCTTATATTGGGTAAATATATAGATAAAAACAACGAAAAGACTATTAATAATTGATAGTTTTTCCTCTATAGGTCGGGTTAACTTATCCATATGATCTGTCATTCTTACTTGACGATGAAACTAGTTATGATATTTATGCCAACTATTGAATAATACTATACAAATTATTATAGTAGGTAGGTATGATTCCGGTAAAGTCCTTGTTGGGAACCGATGGGCGATCGTGACAACAGACGGAACTTGTTGTAAGTGTGTACTTTTACGGTGAGAATTTTTGAAAATCAAACGGAAATTATGACAACATGTTCTTTGGTTTTTTTAAAAAGGTTTGAATTTAGCGAACCTAATTTAATTAATTTACACGGCGGGCGCGTGAAAAGAAAAAAAAAAGGTATCGTATTAGGTATAGGTACAACAGCAGTGTCGGTGGACTCGGTAACGGTGTTCGACAAGGGTAAAAAACGTATATATATATAAAAAAAAAAATAGCTCTCAGTAATCATTAATCACGTGGTCGCCGTACCTTGTAAACAACACAATCGACCATCCCTTTTAAATCAAATTGTTTCTGCTTAGTTAAAATGGAACGGCGGGAGGGCGTCTACACACTACGCTCCTGTCGGCACGCATCGCATGTCTTCCGACTTGCATTATATAGGTACTAACACACACACACACACACACACAATATATGTATATGTTTATATATGTAGTGATAAAACCGTGACAAATTTCATTATACCCCACACACAATGATACGGAGAGGAAGCCAAAAGGTGATCATCAGCGACGGTAGCATCCTCCGCCGACACACAATGCACATCAATTGGATCCATAAACACCTCAATAAACTTTTTTTATGCTGGGAAACCACCAACAAACCCGTCGGCTAGCCGTAGCAACACTACCTAGAGTATTACCTATTGTATAATAATATTATACAGGGCAATGCCGTGTGTTAATTTACATACAAACAGCGTGCAAACTAATTGACTGTCGATGCGTTATCAGAAATTATTGTGAAACTCTGCGCATAATACAAAAGCGCGTCCGAACGAATTAAAAATAATAACCGCTTGCATACAGAGCTGTTCGAAGTTATTTATCTCAAAGATCTCAAATGGCCAAGCCAACATGAAAGATCAAACTTATAAGTTCATTCTGGAGCTTTAGAAAGTAAAGTAGTTTCTTTTTTAAAATTGTCCGCCGAGGGCAAAATTTAGACACCCGAATGACGCTTTATAACACGAGATACGAGCTAGGGTAGACCAGAAATTAGAGATCTAGAGTGGAAATATTTTGATTGAGCCCGTTAAACTAAAAGAAAATTATCATTATACAGAATTGATCACTGAGCCTAGTGACTGATTTGGAATGCCCAAAAATGAACTAGATCTTGAAGTCTTTTGGCCTAGACTCTCTAGTATAGTAAGGCTGACCGCGCATCTTTTAAATATTCGCATGTAGTTTTTTTATTTATGTATGTTGGTTTTACTTTTTTTTTTAAATTAATTAAATAGCACAAAATAACCAGAAGAAATAGACAATGAGAACTCGAAACCGGTAAAATGTCGAGAGCGCATCAGTGTAACCAGAAATTAACCATTATTGCAAACGATTCATTGCTGCCGAAACTGATTTCAGACATTTTCGGGTTGGGAAATGAACAGTATTGTTTGAAATAACAGAAAACACGTAATTATCTGCATACTGCCTAACCTGATTCTCCCACAGGTGTAGCTAATCTATTCCCAATAAGAATTACCCATGTAATTCTTGAAAAGCGTCTCGAATAGTGTCGTGTTGATTTACAATATTATTATATGTTATATCATTTCAAGTGTGGAACTCACGATAGCAATCCCTGGTTGGGGCCGTCCGTTTGGTACCAGCTGTACTGCGGCATGTACCCGGCGGTTGGGTGATGGGAATGATGATGGGGGTTGGTGGCCAGCGCCAGGTTGGGGGGCTTCATGTCCCACGCTACGACGGGCGGAGAACCGGACACGCCGGACGAATGGTGTACCGGCGGCACGGGGGACATGTCACAGCTGACGGGCGTCGAGCTGGGTGTTGGACTGGCTCCCACGTGCTGCCCCAGGCCTGAACCCACGTGTCCACCGATGTATCCTCCGGTCGGGCTGGGCTGACTGCCGGACGACGAACCGTTACCTGTTAGAAAGAAAAAAAAAATACCAAAAATTGTATTAAAAAACTGTTAAATGTGACAGTATTATAAATAGGTAGGACAGTATTACAATGAGGAACTATGTGCGTGTTGAAAGTAAAAACGGTTAGTTGTGACGATAGATGGAAACTGTACGAGACTACGCAAAAAACTAGAGATAGTCGATCAGAGCTGATAAATTATCATTAATCATATTGTTGTTTACCTATACGTGTCGACGACACGAGCGAAACGGGTTTTGGCGGCTGTCGCTAAAGCGACGATCTGACAAGAACAGGTGTTTGTATTCGAACGCAATAAAGAATAATAATAATCTTGAATCGTTTATAATATTATATTGAGCTATTTCGAGTGAAAGAGGCTTTTACATATCATATACACTGTGTTTGCTTAGCATAAAATATTATGATTTTGGCTCTACAAATTTCTATGAAGATTCATTATCAGATCTCTTATCTCCTGATAGATCTGATTCACTTGCCTAATCCGACCTCCCAGATTTCAAGTCCACATCCCATAATCCACATCATAAAAAGCAAATTTGTCGCTCTTTTTTCGGTCTACAAATTTCGAGCCTGATATTATAATAAAAATGAGAGTACCTACAAACAGAAATTACTTTTGTACGGACTGTCATGCATTAAATATTTAAATGTTCACTGTAAAGAGTTTAAATACTGAACCTAACTGATTTGCCGGAGCATCAAATAAATATTTTTTTTTTTTAACAGTAAAAAGAAAAAACCGAGGACGTGGGCCTTTCGATGGACTTGCATCAGAGTTGTTTTGAAAGTTTGAAGTTTTCTAGCTGTTATTAAACGGGTACCGATTTTTATCTATTATTATATTCTATGTACGTTTTTTTTTTTTGGGTGTGATTCATCGTGCGGTTAACCAAAAAAAAAACGCTTTTATACCGAGAGGAAACGCACATAATAAAAATTTTCAAACAAAGCCAGAACGAACGAGACGACTTCGGAAAGGAGTTAAAAAAAAAAATAATAATAACAACAGTTCTTCGACGTTTCGTTTGTCGGTCGTGTGTGTGTGTGTGTGTGTTTTAAGGACGGTGTGTCTACTACAGTACTAAAACACACACACAGACACACAGTTGTAGTAGTAGTATGTAGTAGTTCATGCTAGTAGTCTCGGGTAGGTATAGGTATATGTATGTATATATATATATATACATACACTCGGTGAACCGAAACAGTTGCTATCTCCCACGGTCACTTGACAGACCCATCCTGTTCCAACCTATTGTTTTCATATATATGTATGTGTATGTATGTCTGTCGGTGTGTATATATGTGTTGTCGGGCACAACGTAATTCTTTGCACTATAGTGCTCCCGAGCGATTCTTGAATTCGTTATTATATTATTATTATTATGAACGATTATAATTATTATTATTATTATTTTGTTTGTTTTTCCCAAAGGAATCCGCGCCAGAGGATATTCAAGACGAACGCTTTTGTATATTTTGCTTAGATAGTGGTTATCGTTAACCTATGGGAACGCTCTGGACAAGACAGACGGGCAAAATGATATAGTCTTTTTTCTTTTTTTTTTTGTCTAGACTTGAGGTTTATTATTATGTTTTAATTTTAATATTTCAGCGGAATGTCTGTATTATATAAGCCGGACGCGCACCTAATTGTAATGTAAATATTATACGAATAATAATAAAAAAGTGACGCAGGATCGGGCGGCCGGGGCGTAAGTAAGCAAGTACCCGCGTATAGGTACGTAATTAGAGCAAAACTCATCGGTTAGCGCCCGCAGTACTTACCGCCTAGAAGGCCGCCAGATGGCGGAGGACTATTTGGTATACTAGGCGTGTTGGCCCCGCCGGGGCCTCCCAACATGTGGCCAGGGCCGCTGTTGTTGCTGCTATTATTGGACGGCGTCGACACTTGTTGTTGCGCAGCTTTCATCATTTTTTTGTACTTACTCCTCCGGTTTTGAAACCATATTTTTACCTGGAACAATAAAAAGCGTGCCGGTTAGTATCTGTGTCTGGTGTCATAACATTTGTACGCACAATATAAAAATACTTTACACTATACTATACATATGTATTATTATTTTCAAACGGTATTTTGTAAAAGCTGTAGGACGCCCAACACGCTGTTGTAATACCTACGACTCGCCACACACAACCGAAAACCTTATATCTATATTTTACTCATAACGTTTACAAAAAACTACACACAGCGCAATAGTAGCAGACCTATATTGAAACTAACTCACATTTTCTAAACCGTTTTCGATTAGGTTTGGTTAGAAAATAGGGTTGTTCGTGCTCGGTTTCTTTTGAAAAGTGCTTATATAAAGACATTTATAGGAGAACGCCACAGTAAGAGAGATTAGCGGAGACCAGGCTTGGCTTTTTTACGATTTCAGCGTGATAACTTCATCCTAGGCGGGAATAAGTTTTAGTCGTGCGTTGCTCAAAAGTAAAAGGTCTAATAACAGTTCGACTTGACTCGATTGAGGACGCGGTTACGGTTTTCTTGGACTTCATGTCGGCTTAAGAGTGTTCCAGCCAAACGTCTGGTAAATTTTGTACAAATAGGCATTGCAACAGTCAAATATTAACATAATATCGACTATGTGAAAAATCACGAGGACGGCCGGTAGGGTAACACATATAATTTAAAAGGTGTTATCTCTGTATAATTTCTATACTTACATACGGTCTATGTTCACTGCCATAGCCCGTGAGAAGAAACTCGTCAAATGAACATAATTAGTTTTCTGACATGTACCTATAGGTATATACTGCCGCAATGTAGTTTATATAGGTAACACGGTAGCTATAATATGAGTAACGACATGTATGTACAATTAAGACAATGCCCAACAAGGCCGATTAACGCGGGCATGTGCTCAACTAATTATTACCGTTCGCTTCGATATACTATAATAAAATAATTATACAAGTATTATAATACCGTGATTACTTAATAGTATTATTAATATTATTTTCGGAATTATTGAATCTCAACGTTGTAATTGATCCGCGTCAGGTGGCTATAATACACCGCAGTGCCTTACATCTAATGGTACCTAATCATAGTACACCTAATATAACATAATAATAAAATATAATATATGTGCGAAGGTCATTCGGCGTTACGAACCGGTCTTCTTCGGCTTGGTGCGCGTTCTTTAAAGAAAAAAAACACATTTGTACATCTAACGTAATAGTGTGTTATATTTTGTTTATTATATATGACTATATTAAACGTAGGCAATCATAATTCATGTTATTATTTACCGCCTAATATCGGCGCGTTATTATATATCGCTCAGACGCATATTAGACCTACTATAGGTAAGGACACGTTCGCGTACAAAATTGGATGCCAATTTACTTTTTAAATTTAAAAATAAATATTATTTTGTAATATTAGATTAGTGGTGGTTGCAGCACCAAGACGATGGACGAACGGGGTTGGCACAACTTTTGTGTAACAAAAAAAAAAACACTTTAAAAGGAACGGTATGGTTTAGAATTTTCAAAGTTTAGACAACCTCCTTGGAGTCACACCGATGTCGATTCCAAGACCTAACCTAACCGAATCCGGTCGGGTCTTGCGTGCATTGCACGGGGAGCGTTTGTGTATTAAATACAGTTATCTTGAGGAAACACTCCGGAGACCGGAGTCAGGCCGCACAAGCCGACTAGGTCGACGGATCCAAGACTGGACGGTTTGCGGCGTCGTCGGCTGTGGATTTACCGACAAAGGGAGCTTTAATGTGTGTATGTATTTGTACTTTGAAAAACAAAATCCTTTCGCTATCTCGCGCTCTCTCTCTATCTCTATACATATATATGTATGAAAGTGCGCACAGAGTATCTCCTGTGGGTATATTGCATTATATAGAGAGACGGATTAGCAAGCGTTCTTTCTCTTTTCAAACATTCTACAAAACTACATTCTGCCGCGCTAGGGAATACCTATGCACCGTCTCAGTGATCTTCTCTCGCCGTCCGATCTCGTATATACTAGATTGTCCGCATGCTTGCTTAGGCCTCCGCCGCGGCCGGACAGAGACAGTTGTTTTTATATTTTATTATTATATTACTATTATTATTTTACTGTGTATGTGTATTGGCGGCTACGGCCCTTTATGTCACCGGCGAAATGCTTGGAATTCAACGGGGCGGTTTCTGATATTATACACAACAGCTATATACACTATAGAGTTGGCTCTTGCAACTGACGGACAAGCTTACATCCAGTGTGTGTGTGTGTGCGTGTAGTATATGTATATATGTACCCGGTATATCCAAGCGTTAAAATATACTTGTCATAATATTTATACGCGAATATAATAATAATAATATCCGTGCAAAATACGTGGGAAAATGTGTAACGGGGAAAAGTTCACCGCATGCGTCATCGCGGTAAAAAATTATTATAATATGATTATTCATTTCATTAAAAAAAAAACCCTAAATACCGGCTCGACGCATAAAAACCGTGTATAACCGGTTTCGGCGGGACCGCCTAAACATTTCTCATAACGCCTTTCTATGAAACCTAAATATTAATAATAATATTAATAAATAATAATAATTACAAGCGCTGGTCACGGGGCAACTGCACCGGCTGATATTATCGTTTTCTATCCGTCGGTTGACCTGTACCTACTCAAACCTTTGAAGTTTTGCCTTCCGGTTCAGTGTTGGACACTATTGCTAAGTTGACCGCGTTTCCGCCAAATAGCTCATTTGGCCTATGGGTCTGAGCTATTAGTTCTTAAATTTTATTTTTCACAATCTGACACTGACTTCACTGACTCTTCAATTTTCGCCACGGGTGTGCCAATATTAAATATATTGCCAGTATAAAAAGCATTTTAATTTACAAGATGAGTACCCCAACATGTTTCTTCTTCCAGAAATTTACATTGGCTCTTTTACACATAGTACAATTTTAGTTTCGATGCGATAGCTGAGAAGGTATTGGTTTTATTATGATGTTTTTTCCCTGTCCACCGAAATACTCAAGTAGCACCTCTTTAGATCCGAAATCATATGCAGCTGGTACAGTGGCGGGCCAAAAATTGTAAAAATCACATTCAAGAAAACGGTAATTTCTTACTGTGGTGGTTTGGATTGTGCTCGGTTTGGACTATGTTGGGTTAAGCTGTGACATTTTATACTGTGTAGGATTTTTACTATTTCTAGATATTTTGTTTTATTGTTCGGATGATTAATTATTGCGCATAGATGATTTGCGCACAGACTTGGGGCGTTATATTATGGCACCTATGTGATGATGTAATATTACTATAACTTGGACACATATCACACTTCCAAGACCATAATAATATATAATACTGTCGCAACAGTTATAATTATTATCTTTACTGGTAGAATAATATTATAATTATTAGCATCATAATAACGTATGGAAGTAATAAAATATTTTTGTAACATATTGTACTGGGCCAGCTGGAGTACATAATTTTTTATACCATGGTACATGGGTTTAATATATAAATCAGCCTCTAGTGCCGTGTGTGTATTATTTATAGTTTACCGCTCAATATACATATAATACAATTAAACGCTATATCACGTTACGTCGGGACCCATTGATTTTAATCTGTCAATAAGTACTAATCAATGTCAAATAATTATTGATGTACTGGCCGGACGCGCACGCTGCCCCTGAGCCAACAACGGCGGCGGTAAAGAAAAAACCTCTGAAAAAAAACCGAACAAACCATTGAACCATCCCCTTTAAAAAAAAAACAACACATAATATATTTATATACATATTACACACACCGTACCTACATAATATATCATATTATATAACATATATTATATTTATATTATTGCTCTTTTTTTTTTATCGATACAAGTATATTTTTTATTAGTCCTCAGGCCAATAACAACGCACATTCGACAGACTGGATGTACCTCTACGGTATTTAACGCTGCCATGTTTATACATATCATCATAGTAGGTATACATATATTATATAAGCGTTAAGAGCCGCCAACTCTTTTTATTCGGATTGATTTAATTTTTCAAAATTGTAATATCTCTTCCAAACGTCCATCCCCCGTGCGTTAAAATAATATAAATCCGAGTTGTATATTTTGTATTTATATAATATCTTAACTCATATACGCAGTTATACCTATATATAGGTATAATTATATACAAAATACAACTCTTGGCTCATATTATTATCCCATGACACAAAAAGTTTTCAATTTTCCACAAAAAAAAATGTTGTTGTATCGCCATTTACTAAACACACATAATATTTATACATTAAAGTCGTTTGCTAGTTTAAGAGTAACAATACCCATCACACATGCACACCTTTTATTTTAAATAGAATATGAAATACACACACACACATACACTCACTTTACCCGTGCATAAGGCGGAACTATGGTACGCCTACCATGGTCATCTGTGTGTAGTATACAATGTTTTGTAATGTATTATTTTTATACATACCGGTAACAATAAAAAAAAAAAAACTTCTACAATACGTGTATACACGCTTGTTCCAGTACAGTGAAATCACTTAACCAGAAACTTTTACTTCATTATGCGCATTTTTTTTTTTTTTTGGTACTATTTTTATGTCATCTTCCTACTCCTCTTGTGCGTGTCACGACCACAAAAATAATACAAATAAATACAATAATATTATTATAATTCTCACATACGTCACTCGCATTAAACAAATAAAATGCACACAATATAATAATAACGCCATTAAATACGTCTGTTTAAATTGTTGCGATTTTGGTCGACTGTTAAAATTGTTTTTTTTAAATTTCAGTTTTGGTATGTTATACTATATCATATAATATATATATATATATATTACGCAACAGGATACACCTGTCCCGGGCTACTAATACCTACGTTTATATTAGGCAGAGGGAGAAGACAGGGGGGGGAGGCAGTACAGTTAATGTTTTTTAATTTTAATT